CATGCCCGATCACGTGGGAATGTGTGCACACGCATAGGTAATGACTGGATATGTAAATCAGCTGGGTTTAACCATTAATTGGATAACCATCTGTTGGGCAGCTGTTGGACCCCATACCGTGCACTATTACTAGATATTACGGTAATGTTGGTGATATACTACAACCGTGAAACTCGACTGAACTCAGCGCGCTTATATTACGAGCAATGTATTCCAATGTCAATGATATGCAGTTTTGTACAGTTCCATATACACTGAGTGTGCTGCTGCACTCGTATACATTTATCCAACACATATTTCAGTGGTGAATATTCATGCATTTTCATAGACGGTAGGTTGCATAGAGGGGCGACCCAGACCTTCAGAGCGAGTCCTACACACCTCTGAAGACTGTTGCCTTTGACGATGGTGGCGATGATGTCAGGGATGGTGGTAGTGATGATGATGATGATGATGATGATGATGATGATGGTGATGGTGATGATGTCAGTGATGATATCGGCGATGATGATGGTTGTGACGATGGTGGTGGTGATGTCAGTGACGATGGTGGTGTTGATGTCAGTGACGATGGAGGTGTTGATGTCAGTGATGGTGATGGACATTTTTCGGGAGGGTCCAATGTCGCATGCTGCAATGTAGAAGAATAAATGAATACGGGGACGAGAAATGCTCTTTAACGGCCGACGTAAATGCAGCATTACATAGAGGGAGGGCCAACCCATGCCCCCCCCCGGACCCCGAAAGGGGCGTCCAACTGTGATCGCAAGCCTTCTCTTACCTCAGCTGGGGGTAATCTTACTCAAGCCTTGTTTAATCATCAAGGAATGCTGACTTGGAAACGAAAATATGTGCGCTGCAACTGCAAGCACGGTTACAGGCCTTGGACGTAGGCAGGGGAAATAAATGACTTGTCTCCCGTTGAATGCTTGAGTAAGTGATGTTACATCAGGGCGTGTCAGTTTAGGGGAGGAAAACCCACAGTGACGTAGATGCACAAACAGGAGCGCGGATCCTGGCTTGCCTAAGGGACGCGACTCTATCCCGCGTATTTCGGCGCGTTCCATGGGCCACTTTAATAGACACTGACCACACGGTTATTAATCTCTGATGTTTTAACTGAGATTTTAGGCTGCTACAAGCCAATGTGATTTATGTCTGTACGTGCAAGTGTGCCAGTGAGACCGAGATTATATTCAGCTGCAATTCTTTCCAAAAAAGCGTAGCCATTATACATGTCAAGTACATGTATTTTCCTTAAACACACCGGCCCATATTCAAGACGTATACTATGTGTGTATTATGAATTTAGTGTGACGTTAGACCGCCTCCGTGGTCTAGTGGTAGAGCGTCCGCCCGGAGAACGGAAGGTCGGGGGTTCGATGTCGGCTGCGTCATACCAAAAGACGTTAAAAGATGGTACTTGTTGTTACCCTGCCTGGCGCTCGGCATTGAGGGACTAAAACAGGGACTGTTCGGCTCGGAGTCAGTATACTGTGTCTGAGTGGGGTGTTCATGATAAAATGCGGCATGGTACCTCAGTGGGCTGGCACTATAAAATTGGCATCAGTCCGGACTAGTAGAAGCATAAGTGCGATAATCTTGGACGAAATGTTAACCCCATTTAACCTCATCTAGTTTCATGTTATGTAATTTAGTTCTTGTACAGACCGATTCCAACTTAAGTAACTAATGCACACGTGACGACAACGATACAGTCTACATTGTTTAGACCCATGAAGATTCCGGGGTAGAATAGGTCTTCAGCAACTCATGCTTGCCGTAAAAGGTGACTATGCTTGTCGTAAAAGGCGACTAACGGGATCGGGTGGTCAGGCTCGCTGACTTGGTTGATGCATGTCATCGATCCCAACTGCGTGGATCGATGCTCATGATGTAAATCACTGGATTGTCTGGTCCAGACTCGATTATTTACAGACCGCCGTCATATAGCTGGAATATTGCTGAGTGCGGCGTTAAACAACAAACCAACCAACCACCTACATTGTTTATATTTCTCATCCAACAACATCAAACGTGTGTCTTCTTATGAAAAAGATATAAAACGCCCTGGTGAACATTTAAATCTCTTTGACTCAATTGTCCTGATTTTAGGAGTTACACCCATGAGGTGAAATATGAATTTAAGTCACTGTCTGGACCTGTAAGGTCATCGGACTGTCTGTTTCAGGATAAAGTGTGTGAATATGTGTTTTAGGACTACGTGAGTTAGTGGTGTTTTGCAGCATTCCAACATCACGATGCACGTCGGAGTCGACCCGTGAAGATCCATGGTAGAATAGGTCTTCAGCAACCCATGCTTGTCGTAATTTGCGACTATGCTTGTGGTAAGAGGTGACTAACGGGATCGGGGGGTCAGGCTCGCTTACTTGGTTCATGCATGTCATCGTATTCCAATAGCGTGGATCAATGCTCATGATGTCAATCACTGGATTGTCTGGTCCAGACTCGATTACTTACAGACCGTCGTCATATAGCTGGAATACTGCTGAGTACGGCGGTAAATAAAAAACAAACAAAAAAAACCACCGAAATTAAACCAGGTTCGAATTCACCGGTCGGGGCAACAACTACAACCATTAGACTATCCCATCGCCCGCGGTTTATAATGACCGCATATATGTGACAAATAATATAAATCGTGATAAACTATAAGATATGTATCACCACACGCTGAGTTGAAGTAAGACTCATATAGTGGTTGGACCGGGATAAACTCAACATCCGGGGCTTATCTCGGCCACCTGTCAATGCATTACATTTCCTTGAAACATCTGTTGTGACATTACCTGTGGTTAAATATAGTCTGATACGCAGTCATTATAACAACTAGACATGTTACACAACCAGATAAAAAAATATTATATCATTATGGATTAAATTCATTTTGTAGTCTTCTTATAGCGGCATGCGACGTCACACACAACTAACAGTATTGTGCCTGACTCGTCTGTACATGTACTGCTAATACGTTAGTGGGTTTATAGGCTAATCAGCTTTTGTCATGATACAATAGGAATGACTCGAAACACGTAAAAGGAGCAAGTGAGATGAGACGTACAGTCGAACACCTGAAGATAATGCGAGGTCAATGTCTAAATAAACTTATTACAGTTCCAGTTAAACTCTTGGACACGTCCCTCAGGGCGACCGTAGCGACCGTACGACTATCCGCGTCCTTCGTCTATATTAAAGCATCGGATCGAAGTATATATCAGACAGGCGCGCCCAGATGCGGATCCGGGGGGGGGGGGGGGGGGGGGGGGGGGGGGGGGGCGAGAACTCATAATTCCTAAGTCACAAAGTGACTTTGCCGCTGGCGCAGTTCACGTGTATGGTGTCTGAAAGAGGGTGGGTGTCCTCAACCCGGATCGGGTGGGTGCCCCAAACCCGGATCCCCCAGTGGCAGTAATTCTCTGTGGTAGACTGTATATTGCAGGTATCCATGTCCAGATAATAACAGTATGTATATGTTTATAGTTTGGTTTATTTGTTGTTTAACGCCGCACTCAGCAACATCTCTCGCTTAATTAACATGAATAAATAACATATGGTAGAGTTTAATTAGACAATGGCTACATTGTTAGTGGAGCCTGGCACGGGGTCCCGACATGCAGGTATGTGAGGCAAGTCCTTGCATGATGCAATGGGAGAGTGGGGCAAGTTGCCTAATACATGTCTTTAACCACGGGCCTAATTGTTGTCGAGTGGGTGATAGATCGCCATTCTTCCCTATACGACGACATTTATTTATAACCTTACCAGAACTGTCGACTAAGCATATATAGATGCAGGTATGTCTTCAACGTGAACAGAAGATTACAGGACATCACCTAGTTGTTTGTTTTTTGTTTAACGCCGCACTCAGCAATATTCCAGCTATATGACGGCGGTCTGTAAATAATCGAGTCTGGACCTGACAATCCAGTGATTGACATCATGAGCATCAATCCACGCAATTGGGATACGATGACAAGCATCATCAACCTAGTCAGCGAGTCTGACCACCCGATCCCGTAGGTCGCCTTTTACGGCAAGCATGGGATGCTGAAGATCTTTTCTTCCCCGGATACACCTAGACATCTCGTGGAATCGTCATATACTCTTCGCCATATGAAGTCAAACACTCTGTCTGACAATAAACATGATGAAGCAACACTTTCCGTCTCTGCTTATTTGCGTTTTTCTCTTCTAGTTCGGCCTGTTTGGGAATGAGGGAGTGAATCTATCTATCTATCTATCTATCTATCTATCTATCTATCTATCTATCTATCAGGGACAGTGGTTGTGAAGGATCATAGTGAGTGAGTGAGTTGTGTTTAACGCCGCTTTTAACAGTATTCCAGTCATACCACGGCGTGTCAGCTTAGAGTGGGAGGAAAGCCCCAAGTGATGCAAGTCCTAGGCGATTACCACTCCGGTGAAACCCACGAGCACGGGTATGGTGTTGACAAACCTAAAACATAATCGGGGCGAATCGGGATTCGAACCAACCATAGGTTTCTGGCGTGTCCAAGGGGGGTCTTAAAAAACGAAAGGGGGAGGACACAAGGGGGTCATGAAAAAGTGTTAGATAAGATAGGATGGGCGACAAAATATGATAGTCCCACCCAACAAATAATGAATGACCAATCAGGGTTTAGGATATTAATCATATATTGTCTATTACAGTAACATTGTATAATTTTAACTTGAAATAAACAATACTGGAATGTTATAAGGTAATATTGTACAATGTTAGCACTCTGTTGTAATTTGTTGAACATTACGTCTTTCCTGTTTCAAAATGGCTGTGCGTTACAGTGGAACCTATATAAAACCTAATGATAAATGCACTGACATTATCAATGAAATAATCAACTGTTATATATTCAATCCCGGATGTGATTAAATATCTCAAACAAGATTCGGTAATGCGCAGTTCGTGATATAAGCGAGTGCAGCCACAGGCAGTGCCATTGACCGTGTTCCGAGTCGAATCGTGCAAGTACGGGACGAGTCCACTCTTGTTTCACTATCGATCGCGTTGTCATTTCCACAATCAAACATGGCCCCTACAGTGGGGTATTGGGGTCCTGTCACTTCTACATTGGACTGGTGTGAAGAAAATTATGTCGTCCTTCCGTTCATCGCCGAATTTTGTAAGTATGATAGCATTTCATAACATGATACAAACTTGGCTCGAGACAGTGGTTGGCTCACAGCTGATATTTTGATTTATCCAATCCGGTAAGATTTAGTATTGTGCAAAACGGACTAGACTAGCGGTACTTTCGTTTTATGAGAAGACAACGGCTGTCTATTTGATTGTTTCGATTGATTTCTCCATAATATAAGTCAGTTTGTTTACGTCGACGTGAATATGACAATTATGATCTGATAATAAATAGTGATTTTCTAGAATGGAATCATTAAATCGATATAGTTCCTACAACATTGAACAACTGCTACTGTGGTTTAATACAGTAAACTACGGTTATAACGAACTCAAAGGGACCTGTAATTTTAATTCGTTATAAGCAAATGTACGGAATATATACAGCAAATAGACCGGACCCAAAACATAGTTCGTTATATCTGTCAGTTCGATATAAGGGTTATAACCGTAGTTTACTGTAGTTCCACATGATGTCCAGTGCCGTTATTCCACATCTACTACAGACAGCTTATCATTATTATTTATGGGCATCTGATAACATGATCAGATGCAGCAAATTGTGAAAATGTACTGTTACTATTTCATTTTTTTGTTGATTCAGTGTTTTTTAAAAGTGTTATTAAGGGATATAGAGACACAAAAGATGTGAGAGTGGGTGAGTGAGTTGGGTTTGGTACTGCTTAGTTTAATACCATAACTGTGCAAGATTCACATGTATCTATTAAATAACTGATCATTGGGCATATCATTTTCTATCGTCTGTTTATTTGGCATATTCTGACAAAGGAGTATTCCGGTTTGCTACACATGCATTTACGAAAGATTCATATGAAACTGTTTTATTGCACCTAAGGCATATCTTACGTCAATTAATTCAGTACAGCTACATCCAAATTAACTTAATTTAAATGTAATTTACATAATCTCACAATCGGGCAGCAAACTTTTATAAAACTCCTGGTATTGAACATACAGCCATTTAATGTTGCAAACAACATGATGAAGTTTTGTTTGTTCGATTTTTAACGCCGCACTCAGCAATAAAAGCTATATGATGTCTGTCTGTAAATAATCGAGTCCGAACCAGACAATCCAGTGATTGTCAGCATGAGCATTGATCAATGCAATTAGGGTACAATGACATGCATCAACCAAGTCCACAAGCCTGACCACGCGATCCTGTTAGTTGTCTCTTACAGCAAGCATGGGTTGCTGAAGACCAATTCTAGCCTAGATCGTCATAGTTACAATTTATTCAGGACATATTAATAGCACATGACCATATTGAAGAGGGATGTCATGTGTTGTTGTTATACCCTGAATACACCCATCTAAGAGATGAATATGATATTCTTCAATACATGCCAATGGATTTTGTCAATGGACCATCTCATGATAAATTTAATGTCCTGCTCAAACCTGATGATGTGGATATGCTGCTGAAGCTCTCTGTACTATTGTAGCATATAATTCACATGAGGGTTCAGATGTTGACATGAAATGTTGATGAAGTACTTTTATGTAAACCGGTTCTGGTACAGTAAATTTTCAGTGTCAAGGTTGTGCTGTAGCCATGTTCATTGTTATGTTATACATGTCCTACTGTTGGCTTTTGGCGACACATGCTAACTCACTGCCTGTCTGCAAACTATGTTAATTAATCACTCAACACACTTACTTTTCATTGATGACATGGGGAATAGAATTGATCACCAGCAACCTATGCTGGTTGTAAGAGGTGATTAAATGGAATGGGTGGTTTGGGGTTAGGATTCCACTACTACACTATGGCTAGACTATTGCTAAATATGACCAGGGTGCTGTTGTCATGGTTGTACGAAACAACCTTAGCGCTACGACTCTCGTATGTCCATGTTAAGGTATGGGAGGTACGGTCACCTTAGCGCTAAGATCGCTTTGTAGAACGGCACCCAGGTCTATTTCCTAAGAGTGAGATTCATTTGGTTCTGGATGTCATCCACTTATATATTAAAACTATTTTTTTTAAAATGATCTTTATTTGATTCTGATACTAGGAGAATGGCATTGTTGTGGTAACATTGACATTGTTTTGACTCATTTATCCTGATATCAGCTGTGTGAGGTCAAGTCAGTTATATGTCACACAACATATATACATCAGGGTAGACTGGTTCCCTGCTCTCTTTGTGCTGCAAAATCTTTTTTACATGGAGAAACTGATTCTTGTCAATGTCTATGCTAATGAATCTACTTTTAGTTGCTACCTGTGCTGGGAGTGCATGGTACATCCGCAGTAGAGGGCATAGTATGGTCATTATTTCCCATATCAAATGGTCGGGTAGCCTAGTGGGTAAAGCGTTCGCTTGTCACGCCAAAGACCTGGGTTCGATTCCCCACATGGGTACAATGTGTGAAGCCCATTTCTGGTGTCCCCCGCCATGATATTGCTGGAATATTGCTTAAAGCGGCGTAAAACCACACTCACTTACCCATATCAAATAGGAGACCTTGAAGAGCCTTAACCTTTATAATCTCTTTTGCAAATCCATTTTCAAGCAGTTATACATTACAATTTGATCAATATATATATTGGGGATGTCAAGAGTTATATGCAAGAGAGAAACAATAGGAATAATTTAAAACCATGAAGCACACTGCTACCCACAAATTTCCTCACTACACAGAATGATTTGACACGTCTTTGAATTTTTAACTCACATTGCTTAAGTTTTCTGAGGAAAAAATCTTGTTTTGCATCAGGAACAAATGCAGTGATATATTTTGAAACATACCGTGTAGTGAAGCTTATGAATAATTGCTAGATGTAGGGGCCAGATTACTCCACTTCACTTCATCTGTGACAGCACACCTGACACTGACATCATGCTCATACAACAGGTCAAAGACAAGGCTCTTTCACACGTTTCGCGCTTGGTGCTTTTCATGGTTTACGTTTTTTGATAGATATTTGTATAAGCATGATTATGTATCTCAGCTTGATTAAGACCAATGGGTAAAGACAACAGATTTATATATGTGTGATGACAAATCTGTGATATATATATTTCACACTCTGGTTAAGGCCATTATAAATGTATTATCCGATTTTTATCACCGCAATCTCCTCTACCCTGCCTTGCATTATTTTTTTATCACCAAATACCTACAGACAAGAAAAAGTGATGTGTTTTTTTCTTTGTGTGATGAATAACACTTTTTTCAAAGCCCTTTTCAAATTTCCAGCTTCAAGTGGGGTCATGGGCAATCTCATTAAAATCTGATCTAAGTTCTTGCTGCTGCTAAACAAAGATCTGAGGACATCCCACTACGGGTCATGTCAGTATGACCTTTCGCGAATTTTGCCCAACTACTGAAATGACTAACAAGAACTCAACATCAGCCAATTAGAAAGCAGCTTTCTCGAGCTTTACGGCACTCGTTTCAACCTGGCGACTTCCATTTCAGAAAGATATGTTGACACAGTTTTCGATTAAAATTTTGAAAACTGATCAAACGAACATTCTGGAATGTCTAGTATATGGTTGAGATTGTATGGCAGTGCTTCCCACATACTGTGCAACGCCTCCTCCGCTCAAATGTTTATCCCACGGAAGCGAGAGATTGACGATAATTTTGATGGAATCAGTCGTACGGGCTGTAACTGTCGTTCGGAACATTCCCTGTTAACATTTTCGAGGTTGCATGATTAGAAAACACATTCCGACTGTCACTTTCATGATCTGGTAAGCGACGCTTTGATTGGTCGGATGAAAGGTCGTTCTGACATGACCTGTAATGGGATGTCCTCAGATCTTTCTTCGAACTACGATCTGATTTTAAGGAGATTGGGTCATGGTTAGCCCAGTTGTCTAAGGCACCACTATTCGGTGTGCAGAGTTGCTTCCCTTTGGCATGCCTGAAACCTAAGATTTTGGGATACCAATTATGTTTCTTCGTTTGTCAGCGAACGTGCTTGTGGGTTTCACCAAAGTGGTAAACGTCGTAGACATGCATCACATCGGGCTTTCCTCCCACATTAAGCTGACACTGGAATATTGTTCAAAAAGGAACTAAACCCTATTCACTCAGTATCTATCGACAGTTAGTGGTGCACTGAACAGAAAAAATATATAGGCCTCTAGCCTCACATTTTTAAAAAGTTTTGGATGAAAATCTAACAATTTATTTATTGTAGTGTAAACTAAGTTTCAGAAATACTGGAAACTGTTGGCTCATTCCTTGGTTTCAGATGGCATATATAACAGGATAGGTACTTGGTTTCACATGCTTCAATGACAAGTTCATTCCAAAGTAAACTAACATTTATGTACTTTATGATCATGTCATGATAACTTTCTAAATATATTTAACCTATGAAATGTGTGAGTGAGTATGGTTTTACACCATTTTTAGCAATATTCCAGCAATATCACAGCTGGAGACACCAGAGATGGGCTTCACACAAAATAACCATGTGGGGAATCAAACTCAGGCATTTGGCATGATGAGCAAACACTTTAACCACTAGGCTACCCTATGAAATTTGTATCTGAAACATGAAAAAAAACATACGAAACACACATGAATTGACAACTTGATAAAATAAAATTTTGTTCTGACCGGTATTCTAAATTAGAAAACCAGAGCAAAGGACATCACATCCGATAGTGGCATGATTGGGCAACTGTCTGTATGCTGTAAATTGTGAAATTAATGCATCTCCAAAAGAATGCGACCGCTGGCCCCTAGCCAAAAATGTGACACCCCCTCCTCTCACTTATATTAGAGATTTTACGTGCGCTTTCCGACTCCAGCGTATTTCGCACACGGGCCTGGCCAGGCCATTTAATGTGTTTCCGAAAAGGGAAAAGTTTTGAGGCAACCCGGTAGGGAGGTTTTAGTGGTTGCTTATATAGAATTTTGGAAATTTTGAGATTTGGAATTAATGCCGAGGGGTTTTGGGAGGAGAACTAAGGGAGCTGGGTATGGTAGTATGTTTGTTTGTTTATGTGATTTGGATTTGGTAGTTTATTGGGTTTTTAAATGCGATTTATTAGTCCTGTTTTGATCCTCTCAAGCATCAGTGGATTTATATCTCAAGAAAATGTCTTCTGTCAGGTTCACAGACTGACTGACTGATATAGAAGATTTAACATGCGCTTTCCGACTGCAGCGTATTTCGCACAGGTTCACAGGAGAATCCTCTCCTTTATCCAACCTTACATTAATCCAATCACACTCCAAATAGCACCGCTTATTAGCGCTGAATAGAGTACTTCCGCTGAAACAATACATGCACGCTGGCTTGTGTCGGCCTTTGACGCAGTCGTAAAGAACAAAGACACCGTGTTGCATGGGTGGCGTCTGTCTGGACTTGCAGGTGTGATCAGTAATGACATAAGTGAGTAGAACTCTTGTCGTGACCCCAGCAGTGACAATTCACAGGATGTAATTAGTGTTTGAATGACATTGTTTATGTACTTGTTACAAGTGCTGCTCAATCAACAGTGATGTGGAAAACATAGTTGGTTGTTTTCATTCAGGGTATGTCTTAAGTTGGTTTTTCTTCTATCCCAAATTAATATTGTAGATATAAATGCGATGTTTAATAATGCAAGCAAAGACCACTCGCATTTTTCGCATTTAATTCAGGCTCACGTTAATTTCAAGATTTACAGTAACAGTCTCATGCAAGTATATCAAATAAGTGCGAAACATGCTTCTAACAATTATGTCATTAACAAAACCACTGTTTTCGTTCTACAGCTGGTTACGACACAGAATCACAGAGGCCTGTGTGACATCTGTGTGAGGAGCTTATTACCTGATGCCTTGATGTGAATAGCCAAGCTGTACAAAAATATTTTTATGAAAAAGGTTTACCATGTAGTTTACATATGGCTGGAACCTGTGGTGATTCTGGGTTAAATGAGGCCCCCAGGAACATATGCTAGTAGAGGCATCCCAAGTGGATTGTGTGGCCAGGCTTGGGGACTTGGCTGATTACATGTCATCACTTCTCATGCATGGTTCAGTGCTCATAATGTCAATCACTGGTTTGTCCGTAGAATAAAATATAGTCTTTGAAATGTTTTATTCCACACATTTCTCTCCTCTAAATTTTTTTCCTGATGCCAGTGTATAAAATTCCCCCAAATGTCAGTGAGACCAGTCCAGATCTTTCTAGACTAATGAACAAAAGGGTAAGCATAAGTACTGTTTAATGCTAGTTCTCAGAAAATAACAATAAACTGTGGGAAATGTCCAAATTCAGTGCCATACTTACAGGCCATACTTACACAACTTTGACCTCTGACCTCCACAAACCTATATTTATCGAAGGGGATTACATGTACAATAAACAAGCTCGTCTCAAACGTAACTCAGTGTCACTCGGTTAATGGACTTCTCACGAATCAAAGGATTACCACCAGTGGAAGTGTATTGTCCGGATAAGTGAGACAATTTTGTGTGCATTTCAGTGTTTTGTGTATGAAAATGACTGTCCGGTTCCGGAAACTGAATTTCCAGATATATGGGTAAATTTATATAGTAATTATTCCGTTTTGAATGAAAATCGTCCGGGAACCGAGGTTTCCGGATATCTGAAGTCCGTATAAGCGGGGCATGACTGTATTGCTGAGTTTGATGATAAACAACAAACAGGCGTATGACAGGTCTTTTTTTCTGCTGCATTTGGCTGTATTCAAGCTATTCATTATGGCCTGTCAGTAGCTGAGTCTGGACCAGGCAAACCAGTGACTGAAAGCATGAGCAGTGATCAATGTCATTGGATTATGATGACATGCCACGTCATTTTCGTCAGGGCTTATTCTAGTGTGAGGTACTTGTGACAAATACCATGAATACCGACCCATGTGGCTGAAAGTAGCTGCCTTGAAGTTGACATGGAATATTGAGGTTTAAATGTATAAATTAACACACTTGTGTACAGACTTGATCTCCAGTCATGTGTTGTGGCTATGTAATGGATATATGTATGTTCTAAGGAGCCACTGGTGCAGGCATAGTAACAGCTGGAACACCTTGACAGCTGCATAAAGCACAGATGAAACCCGAGTGTAGACAAAAATGGGCACCAATGTCATCAGAATCAAAGGGTGACCTATCAGTAACTAATGTGCTCTTTTTGTTGTTGGATAAACAAAAAGGTTGCCTCATAAAACTAGATATCAGTTAAATGGGTCGGTTCTCGGTAAATATTTGAAATTAAGTGTAACCTTCCCCTTAACTTTAGGTGGCAAGTGACAGGATTCTGATAATGTTTGTTGAGATATATAATGTTTTGAACTGAATTCATTGTATTCCAATATATTGGCATTATCAAATTAATTTTTGTTAGTTAGTTTGTTGTTTAACACCTCACTCAGCAATATTCATTCTATATGACGTTGGTATGTAAATATTCAAGTTTGGACCAGACAATCCAGTAATCAACATCAAGAGCATCGATCCATGCAATTGGGGTATGATAACATGCATCAACCAAGTCAGCGAGCCTGACCACCCAATAATTTTCTTCTGCATACTCAAAACAACCACAAACTTTATTGGCACAGGTCTATTTGTGAAGAGTATATGTTTTGACATCAGTGTTGATGTTTGTATTTCAGGGAACACCATCAGTAACTTGATGATGATCATCCCTCCACTGTGTGGGGCGGTGCTGGCCTACAGGGAGCGGCTGGAGGCTCGCATCATCTGGTGTCATCTGGGACTCCTAGGTGAGTACGTCTAGAGGCATTCCTCCCAGAGGGGGGTACATCTAGAGGCATTCCTCCCAGTGGTGGGTGCATCTAGAGGCATTCCTCCCAGTGGTGGGTACATCTAGAGGCATTCCTCCCAGTGGTGGGTACATCTAGAGGCATTCCTCCCAGTGTTGGGTACATCTAGAGGCATTCCTCCCAGTGGTGGGTGCATCTAGAGGCATTCCTCCTAGAGGTGGGTGCATCTAGAGGCATTCCTCCCAGTGGTGGGTGCATCTAGAGGCATTCCTCCCAGTGGTGGGTGCATCTAGAGGCATTCCTCCCAGTGGTGGGTGCATCTAGAGGCATTCCTCCTAGAGGTGGGTACATCTAGAGGCATTCCTCCCAGTGGTGGGTGCATCTAGAGGCATTCCTCCCAGTGGTGGGTACATCTAGAGGCATTCCTCCCAGTGGTGGGTGCATCTAGAGGCATTCCTCCTAGAGGTGGGTGCATCTAGAGGCATTCCTCCTAGAGGTGGGTACATCTAGAGGCATTCCTCCCAGTGGTGGGTGCATCTAGAGGCATTCCTCCTATTGGTGAGAACATCTAGAGGCATTCCTCCCAGTGGTGGGTGCATCTAGAGGCATTCCTCCTATTGGTGAGAACATCCAGAGGCATTCCTCCTATTGGTGAGAACATCCAGAGGCATTCCTCCTATTGGTGGGTGCATCTAGAGGCATTCCTCCTATTGGTGAGGACATCTAGAAGCATTCCTCCTAGAGGTGGGTACATCTAGAGGCATTCCTCCCAGTGGTGGGTGCATCTAGAGGCATTCCTCCCAGTGGTGGGTACATCTAGAGGCATTCCTCCCAGTGGTGGGTGCATCTAGAGGCATTCCTCCTAGAGGTGGGTGCATCTAGAGGCATTCCTCCTAGAGGTGGGTACATCTAGAGGCATTCCTCCCAGTGGTGGGTGCATCTAGAGGCATTCCTCCTATTGGTGAGAACATCTAGAGGCATTCCTCCCAGTGGTGGGTGCATCTAGAGGCATTCCTCCTATTGGTGAGAACATCCAGAGGCATTCCTCCTATTGGTGAGAACATCCAGAGGCATTCCTCCTATTGGTGGGTGCATCTAGAGGCATTCCTCCTATTGGTGAGAACATCTAGAAGCATTCCTCCTATTGGTGAGAACATCTAGAGGCATTCCTCCGATTGGCTGGTACATCTAGAGGCATTCCTCCTGTAGCTGGAATATTGCCAGCTCTTGGAGCACACCCTTCAAATACTTCACTCACACCAAGCTGTACGTAATTCGTCATGTCTTGTTACAGAATTTCCATATTTGGAACTGCGTCAGTGCAGTGTTTTATCGTACCTGAAGACTGGAATATTTATGATGCAATTTTCAAAATTGAAACCATAGCCACTGTATTTTGATGTTTGTTCATAACTACATTGATTTCAATATTACATTTCAATGAGTTAGTTAGGATCAAATATTGGAATCAAAATCTGATATTTTAGTTATAAATGTATTATTTAATGCAATTGTTTTATTCTGCAAATGTTAAATACATGTACATATATATTAATTATGTATGGTAATTTTCTTTGGCATATGGCTCCATCAGTACGCTGTTTGTCAGTATAAGCATGCCAGTATGCACATGTATCCACTGACAGTCACAGGAACACTTAATTCCTTTGAGTCACATCCACAACCTTTCATTCCTAGCATGCAAGTATTCATCATTGTGAGCTTTTTTCAATAGCCTCCCACATCTTCCCGAGGCAAGTGAGTTAACTGACTATAAAAGTTGAGTTTCCACCCTTGCCGTACTAGGCTTCAATTATGGAGTTATGTTTTGGCTGGACTGATGGGTCTATGCATAGTTCAATCAAAATGGCGTTATAAAATCCACATCCGGTTCGTAAACTGCTGTGCAGATTTCGGTCAATTGTAGGATTTGCGAAACATGTGTACCGCCAACTCGGCGTCAACAGATATTATTAAATCAATCAGATCATCTTGACTATTTTATTTAAAGCAAATGCAAATGATATGAGAGGTGGAATCTGATTGGTCAATAGGTGGAACATAGAAGGGACATACTCATAATAGCCACTGGTGGCGCTACGATCGAACCCAGAAATTCCAGCTCAGTTTGGGAAGGGTGGAAACTGGACTTTTAGTCAGTTAACTCCCTTGCCTCGGGAAGATGAGCCTCTCAGTGGTTGTTTTGTTTATCTCACTGATAGGTCAGATAGTTGATCCACATATACATACATATGTATATACTGACACCGTGTTTAATTAAAGTACCGGGATACAGTCCATCTCCAATAATTATTACAACTGTTTGTGTTAACTGTAATCGCCGTAATAAATGCATCGGGCGCAGAGAAAATTTACACATTGGGAGTGCATATTAGACCATACAGCGAGCCCAATTGTTGTCAGAGAACAGTTCAAATGTCGAAACTAAAGCTTTACGGTAATAATTACAATGCAATTATATATTCATTTTATGTTGCTTGCTTTTTCTAACAGTCTGTAGTATACACAAGAAAATACAGATGGTCATATTAAATTTTGGTCTTTGCAGGGGGCACCTAAAAGCATTACTTACAGATTGTTCTAGATGTTGGTCAGGGGGGCGCTTAATACGGCGAATATGGTACATGCTTTTCATAATTTAAGGTAATTTTGATGGCATTTTGAAAAATACTATTGTAGTAATTAGAAAATATTTGAATTTTTGGCTGACATCTGACATCTAGTGACCTGACATGTTTGACATTTTCTCTTCTGACTGCACCACTCATGAAAGTATCAACCCTCCTGAACACAAGAAAATGCAGCTGTCCTCTAAGAACCGTATTCAATGTAATAAGCCCCCCGCTCTAATAAGCGCCCACGGCGATATTTGCTAATGTATTGGCTATTGAACAATCCAAAGTAGAAGCCCTTTCGATTGATCAATGTACACTTATTTATTCGTGTACAATACTCACTCGTATGTTATATGCACCCTTAATTATGGGCAATTAACTCCTTCAAATATATCTGTCGTGTATTATACGCACAGACTTTTCTTTTGTATAATTTCAGGCTGTCAGCATAAAACTCGAAATTTACGATCTTTCAACTCTGTTTTTCTCTCCAAAATTATATTCTAATAGGAGACCACTTTTCATAATTTTGGGAGCCATGGGCGCTTATTACGTCGAATACGGTACTTGATAAAAATGAGAAGCATGTATTATCTTACTGAGACCTCAGCCTGAATAGGACAAGTCTGTCAGTGTGGACTGAATATCATTGTGGCATCGAGTGCTATCTCTCCCTTTGAGAATTTCACCAGGTAAATATCATATTTCATATTATGACATCCTAAATGTATAGTTTCACCATGCTGAGAGCTGATTCAATGTTCTCTGTTTTTTGTTTTTCAGTCGTTGGTATTGGATCATGGTTTTTCCACATGACACTTCTATATAGCATGCAAGTAAGCCTTTATTTTGCTTCACCTTTTCGTCTTGTGCCATGTTAACACTTCCAGACATGTAATCAGTGATCATGCTTGTTGCCCAACCCAGCAGCCCTGACCTACATGCTTGATGCTGTCCACATCAGGAGATTTGCATTAATCAGCAAGTCAGGACTTATTATGGATTATCTGTCCTGACAGAATAATGAATTCTCCGGCAGTGGCTGACAACAGATAATCATTAAAGAAAATCTCAATTAGGCTGTGAAGTAGGGTGGTATGCACTGTTGGCATTTGAGGATGTCGACGTGGAGGATGTTTAAGACGGCCTCCATGGAGATATACACGTAGTCAAACACGCCCAGTTGCCAAAGTTGCCCAGAAACCCATGATTGTGGTTTTGAATCCCGGTTTGTCCCAATTTTGTTTCAATGTTTGTTAGTACCATACACATGCTCGTAGGTTTCACCGTGACACGCCGTGATATAACTGGAATACTGTTCAAAACGGGGAAAAACTCAGACTCACTCACTCATCATACTGACTGGAAGTTGACAAATTGGGTGCTCATGCTTTCAACCCCTGGTTTTGTCTGGCCCAGGCTCTATGTACTTATGTAAGACGAGTTGTTGTGATTTTGCTGGAATATGTTTGACTTTGACTTTAAACAACAAAGAAACAGCTCATGTTTGATGTATCGACTCAACAGTGAGCTAATGACAGTGTTTTCATCACGAGAGTAATGATATGTTTTAAACTGGCCTATCAACGCTTGAAAATCTCTAAATGCATGTGTACAAATAGTTTACTTATTATACCCTTGACCTAACAGGACTGGGGTATATAGTCATACCAAGGGATTCCATCCGTTCATCTGTCTGTCCTTCCGAGGACATTTTTTTTCGTGAACTATAACTTGAAAATGACTACCTAGATTCTTTTCAAACTTGGTGAACACTTCTACACCTTAAGGAGAGATGCAGTGTGAGGTTTTGATATCAATATTTGGATTTTCTAAAAAAGTTCATTTTTCATTTTTTGAACTTTTGTGCGACCTATAACTTATAAACTACCTCATCAATTCTTTTCCAATTGGGGGTACAATTCCTATACCAATAAGAGAGGTGAAGTGCAAAGTTTTATTTTGATAAGCAAATTTTCTGAGAAAATGTTTTTTTCATATTTGGAACTTAGAAATATGTTGGAGTCGAAGCCGGGGGAATTAGTGAGCCCTGCTCACTTTTTGTCTTGTTTGCTATATAAAATATATTGAAAGATTATGGTTTTCATCTTAACAGTGAAGAGAGGACGTTTGCAAGGATTGCTTTTTTTATTTCTTATTTAGCATGCCTCTCGTATTGATATCCATGAGAATAATTGTTTTGTTAAGTACAGTAAACTACTGTTATAACAAACTCAAATCGACCACTAATTTTAGTTCGTTATGACCGTAGTACTTTATAAGCATATACCAGTATACAACATCTATACTGCAAATGGACGGAATAAAAAATTAAGTTCGTAATATCCGTCAGTTCGTTATAAGTGTGTTCGTTATAAACATACTTTACTGTATGAAAATTAAATCGCATGCAGGTCAGTGTGTGAAATAATTTACAACAGCACTAGCCAGCCATTCTAGCTAGATAATGTTTTACTCGCCAATGGCAGATTTAGGTCTCCACCTGAACAGGAGGAGAAATCTGGTAGCAGAGAAATAAAATATAAATTAAAAATTCAACAAGGTTGAAACTTGAATCTAAGACAATATCAATTAATTCGGCAGAAGGATAGCCTATGGAAACAGAAGACACTTATGACAATATGATGCATTCAATAACTACTGGAGAAAAGTCCTCTTTATCTGAGTTGTCAGCAGAATAACAAGTGGTTTGGGTGTTTTTAGAAATCAGTCTTATTTTTCAAGTGAACATGTTTATTTTTAGATAGGGGGATGAAGGTTATATAAAATAGCTCATTTGTTTGATAATCAAGCTACCCTGTCAGCTACATGGATGTTATTTTCATCAGCCAGAACGAAATGAAAGTTTCCACGGGCTAGTGGGCAAACGCTAGGCAAACGCTTTATTTCACAATGAGTCAGGCTCCTGTTACTGAAATCAATCAGTGTTGTTGTTTTTTTAGCTTGTTCAAACTAGTATGTAACCAAATAAACAGTTGTGTACAATCAACCTACATAAAGAAGCATACAAACTCCTACTGCCGCCATGACCATAACACGAGAGGCGCAGTTAAAGCAGTGCGAATGTAATGGGGAGTAACTTTTGAATTTTTTGGAAAATGGAAAAAAAGTGTAACGTGCAGCAGACTTTATGGTGATGCAGGCGGTGCCTGAGAACCAAGACTATAATTTTCTTTAGCCTTATTGCAACACAGCAGTGCTGTTAAACGTTAAGGTCAGAAGGTGGATTAACGTTAATTAGCATTGTTAACAGGTGACGAGAGACAACTAAACTTTCAGAAACAAACTCATCACTTGGTGTGACCAGAGACCATGTAGTATCTATTATATGGTCTTCGGTGTGACTTATGAGATCACTAACACTGACTTTCAGCTGGTAAGGAGATGACTAATGGTGGATTAAATTGATGCTTCATGTAAGTTTTAGTGACAAATAGGTTTATTCACATTTATCTTTATTGTACTGACTTTGATTTTGTTTCAACATCATTAACAAAAGGACATGTAAGTTGAGACTTGAGACGTATCACAATTTGGGGGGCTACACAGGCCCCTGCACTTATATGATATATCACAATATATCAATATATGATATATAGTTATATGATAAACACAATGTTTTGATATATATTCTAGTCTAGTTATATGATATGTCACAATGTTTTGATATACATTCCAGTCAAGTTATATGATATATCACAATGCTTTGAGGTATATTCCAGTCTAGTTAGATGATATATCACAATGTTTTGATATACATTCCAGTCAAGTTATATGACATATCACAATGTTTTGATATATATTCCAATCTAGTTATATGATATATCACAATGTTTTGATATATATTCCAGTCTAGTTATATGATATATCACAATGTTTTGATATATATTCCAATCTAGCTGTATGATATATCACAATGTTTTGATATACATGCCAGTCTAGTTATATGATATATCAAAATGCTTTGAGGTATATTCCAGTCTAGTTATATGATATATCACAATGTTTTGATATATATTATGTTTATAACAAACACGCTTATAACGAACTGACTGATATAACAAACTTATTTTTTAGCCCCGGCCATTTGTTGTATTAATGCTGTATATATGCTTATAACGAACTACGGTTATTACGAACTAAAATTAGTGGTCCCTTTGAGTTCGTTATAACCGTAGTTTACTGTACAATCCAGTCCTGTTATGTTGTATATCTCAATATTTTGAAATATATTCTGGCATTGTGACAGATATTGTTAACTGTATCTAGATATGGTGTATAAAAAGTTTGACCATCAGTGTATAGTATCGCTGGCCATGTAACATGCTCCTGACGACTTGTTCCATCAATGGATGGTCACTCCCATTGTGAAGTAAGTACGATTGTGTACAGCTCCTCTCCCTCTGTTACAGCTACTGGACGAGTTACCAATGATATGGGGGTCAGCGTTCATGGTCTATGCATAGTAAGTACTGAGGATGGATGGATGGATGGATGATAATTTTTGGTACTGATGTCGCTTATTTGGCAGGCAATTATCAGTTCAATATTGTCTTTTCTGTTTCTCATCAGTGTTCAATTCTCAAATATGACACGTTTTACTGACTTGGTAATCAAATAAACTCCCTGTCAGTTTGTGTTGTTAACTGTTTTTGTGTTAATATTAACCAGCTATTCATTTTTCTCAAACTGTAAACACTTCTTGATGTTTTGTTTTTTTAACTAATTCTGTATCAAAACGTGGATACGTTTGTCCTATTTGTAAGAAATCAAGCAAATACTGGTTTTGGTATGTGACAAGTGTTCAGCATAATTAGTGCACCCCATCCCAGCACCAGGATGTCTGAGCCCAGCCCATGCTGCCTTGTATCCTTCAGAATTCTATTAATTCCTCTGTAGAATTATGAAGCTAATATGAAAAATCATTATTATGCAAAGTTTTTTATTTCAAATGATAACCTTTTACAATGTAAACAGTGTAAGCCTGTAAGGCTTAAAAGATAAAAGAATTGGTTCTCAGGCAATGACTTTTGAAAATATAGTGCTGGTGGGCGGTGATTTTTCTTTTTTTGCTTGTTCAAACTAGTATGTAAACAAATAAACAGCTGTGTACCAGCAGCCTGGGAAAGGGCCTCCCTGCATAAACAAGCATACAAACTCCTGTTGCCTCCATTACCCTAACGCGAGATATGCAGTAAATCAGTGTGTATGTAAAGGGAATTAACTTTGTGCCATATTGGATCACATTGTGTTCAAGTATGAGGATTTTTGTATTTTGAAAAAAAATGGAAATAAAAACAAAATGTGCGGTGGACATTATGATGATGTGGACGGTGCCTGAGAACCAAGACTATTATTTTTTTAGTTCAGGTAAACCCGTTGCATGGACAGTAAAGTAAGTCCATTTCCGCATTGGTTCACCAAGTAGAAATTCACACTTGGAAGTATTCAAGTATCCCCCCTCCCCCAACTTTGACCAGGGTGTTTTGGGGGAGAAACTGTACATTTTGGCCTCTGCTTTACAACACACAATTTTCTGTGAACCAAATATTTTTTTCATAAAAAACCCAGCAACCCCCTGCCCCCCGCTCCCCAACACATGGGTATCAGATGGTTGGTGCAGGGTTATGTTGGTTACGTATGTGATTTGTTCGTCATTATGTTGCCATTGTTATTAATGATTTAACAAACACCTCCATCCTTTCAGTGCCACACTTTCAAGCCCTCCACAGAGTAACCACACAGGGCTAAAAGTATTCGAGTTCCTCTACTGCAGTATTGTTACCATTGTAAGTGTCCATTTCATAAACAGCTCCACGGAATTGACGAATTTGAATTGAAATGCATTGAAATACAAACCATCATGTGTTTCCATGAGTATTATATGTTTGTGTAAATAAATGTGTGTGTGATTTGAAACGGTTTGATTTGAAACAATATTGCAAACTGCCATGGTCAATACGTTTGTCTATACGTATGTCAGTACGTTTCTTAATACGTTTGTCAATACGTTTGTCAATACATTTGTCAGAATGTTTGTCAAAACATTTGTCAGAATGTTTGTCAAAACATTTGTCAATATGTTTGTCAGTACGTTTGGCAATATGGTTGTCAATACTTTTGTCAATACGTTTGTCAGTAGGTTTGTCAAAACATTTGTCAATACGTTTGTCAATACGTTTGTCAATATATTTGTCAAATATCACTCAAGATTCCTGACAGACAGATTTAGCCAAGATGGCCTTTGGTATGGTTTGGGGATGATAATATATATAGCTGTAACATAGCTGACTAAACACCCATCACTAACTCACTCACTTCTCTACAGTAAACTACGTTTGTAACGAACTACCACTACCACTACCGGTAATTTTAGTTCGTAATACCCGTAGTTCATTACAAGCATATATACAGCATATATATAACATATGACAGGGACTAATAAATAAGTTTGTTATATCGGTCTGTTCATTATAAGCCTGTTTGTTATAAACATAGTTTACTGTAGTTTTTCAATCAATTCTTAGTATTCACAAATGTTTGATATGTAGGTCAACTGGATTTCCAGTCGGATACAGTGTAGGTCAAAAGTCAAGCTACTAAGTTAATCTGGGAATCATTTTGTGTTACTTAGGCATTTCATATGTTGTCAGTTAGTTTACAATATGTTCGCCCTAAAATTCAATGTAGGAGTTCGAAAAAAAAACAATTTAGATGTTTTTGACTGCTATTAGGTTTTAGCTTATCAAGACATGGAAAGATAATTGTTATAAATACATATGATTCACCATTTCCCTTAAAAACAACAGTTTCATTTCATTTCACCTGATTAATTGGAAAACAGATTCCTCCACAATATTTTGGTTAGAAATCTGTTTTTTTCCTTCTTAATTTTAGGTTAATTTTTTGTTGGTCGTTCTCATAAACCAACTGAAAGTAATGTAATCCATACTTTTAAGAGTTAGAAATTATGTCTGGATGAACTACTGCTTGTCCTCACAACACCCAAAGACATACATAATCTACACGTGTCTTTGCAACACCCGACCCTGCCCGGTTAGTTAGGTGAGCCAGCTCAGCAGGGTTGGAGCAAGCATTAATCAAATGTGAAATGTCACTAACAGGATCATACAGTCTTTGACAGTCACTGATAGCCACTTTCATTTGTTCATACATATTGTTAACTGTCAAATTTGACATTTGGGCATGACATGAGTCAGGCCTGACATTTGGAATGTCAATTGGTGTCCCCATGTCCTCGTCATCAGCGTAGAGACCTGCGTACCTGTGACTGAAGCTAGGGAGGCACTGTGGTCGTCTGTACTATACTGTACTATACCTGTCTTATAGAGGGCGCCAACCCTGACTCTCTAGGCACCTGGCATACTGCTTAATGTGTCTTGGCATCCAATTTATGCACTCTTGAGTCCTATCAGTGTACACAGCTGGTACAAGTAAATTAGACTGGGGATTTCACATTGAGTGCAAGACCATGTGTGTCAATAAGCTTGGAGCTTTATATTTTATTGATTTGTCATGCTTTGAAAGAAAAAAAAGATGACAAATAAATTGAACTTTGAAATATTGGCATCACGTACCAGATAAACATTTTATGGCCTCCTGTGTGCTGCACTGCACTTTTATCATGTCAAGGTTTATCGATTTATTAACAAACTATCTCAGTGGAAATAAATAAAAAAAATTAATAGCATTTCTTGTCTATTTGTCATAAAATTGGGTCTGTTGGTCAGTTGAGTGTTGAAAAAATATGTCATAAATTTCATGTTAGTATCTTTACGTGAAAAAAAAGGACCTGTGAAGATTGGGGTTAGAATAGGTCTTCGGCAACCCATGCTTGCCGTAAAAGGCGACTATGCTTGTCACAAGAGGCAACTAACGGGATCGGGTGGTCAGACTCGCTGACTTGGTTGCATGTCATCGTATCCCAATTGCGTGGATTGATGTTCATGATGTCAATCACTGGGTTGTCTGGTCCAGACTTGATTACTTACAGCTGTCACAACAACAAACAAACAAAACAAACAAATCTTTGCGTCAAAAGAGTTAGTTTGTTATCTATTTCAATACACATGCAAACAATTGAATGTAAAGATTGATGTTTTACTCTTTTCGCCATGTAGGTGTATCTGGTCAACAAGAATCCAGTGTTCCATGAGGTGAGTGTGTATGTAGATGCGTGAACCACATATCTAGTGGTCTTTTATTCCCCAATCAACAAGTATTGGTTTATTTTTGTCTTCTGGTTGTCATGTATTTATTTTCATCATAAAACTCAAGATAAGATGGTATTTTGTATAGCCTGCTAAACTTTTTTGATCACAAGAACCATTTTATGGTAATACAGCTGTTCCATCTCTGTAGGATTGTGCAACTGTTCCATACCTGTCACTGTAGAGATGTGAAACAGGTAATGTTTAGAAGGACTGTCAAAGACCTAATTTGAATCCCATTGACATATCCTATGGGCGGCCATTCGGTCAAAAAATACAAAGTTGAAAAAAAGGACAAAAGTACGCAATTAAGGTAAAATATTACAAATAAAGAACTAAATGTTACTACTAAAGGTCAAAATACAAAACAAACAGACGATTGTTAAACATACAAAGTTGAAATAAATGTCAAAAGTACGCGATATTAATAGTCAAATGTTACGAAAAGACGTCATAAGAAAAGAAAGAACAATGTGTACAAAAGAACGTCAGTGAGCACGAAAGGACGTTTTCAATAAAGAACTTCAGTGAGCACGAAAGGACGTTGACAATAAAGAATGCCATTTGTAAAACATTCCGACTTTAATCGGCTTGTTCCGCTCTGTATATGATAACTGCATGTTAAGGTGCACAATGTATTACGTCATTCCTAATGCACTCACCGTCTGTTTAACCCTCTTCTGTTTGTTTTGTATTTTGACCTTTAGTAGTTACATTTAGTTCTTTATTCGTAATATTTTATCTTAATTACGTACTTTTGTCCTTTTTTCAACTCTGTATTTTTTGACCGAATGGCCTCCCATAATATCCCCCATCCTACTCAATGCTAAATGCTGACATGTCAATGACTATTTCAGGTTGCATACGGGTTGATGGTATTCTCCATCCTAGCATGTGCCGTCAGAACCATGCTGTAAGTATAGTCAAAATTCAGGGCTGGGGGGTAGCCTAGTGGTTAAAGCATTTGCTCGTCTCGCCGAAGGCTCAAGTCCCCACATGGGTATAAAGTATGACGCTCATTTCTGGTGCCCCCCTTGCTGTGATACTGCTGGAATATTGCTAAAGTGGCGTAAAACCATACTCACTCATGACATCATTGTTGTCCTTGGAAAGTGATCAGGTAGACAAGATGTCAGTTTTGAAGTAGGAGATATGTTTTGAGTTATTATCCTTGAAATTCAGGATATGATTTGAACATGTTTGTTATTTATGAAGCCTCTCACTGTGTTCTCCTGAAAACTCTTAAAAAACTGTTCTTTAGTGAGTCTTTAAGGCATTATTTGTTTTGTCGTTTGAAATTTGTTCACATCCTGTTAACGTCACCGGGTTGGCCTGAAGCCTTCAAGTAAATTGTTAAGTATGTAGTTGGTTAGACAAATGAGTGTATACAATTTCAGTGAAAGTCACTGAAGCGACCAGAACAGAGGAGTGTAAACATTTTGTCACCGTGACGATAGACATCCTGCAATTAAGTAACATTTTCTACAATTATTTATCAACCTGTGAAGATCCGAGGTAGAATACGTGTTCAGCAACTCATGCTTGAGGTAGAAGGCGACTATGCTTGTCATGAGAGGCCACTAACGGGATCGGGTGATCAGGCTCGCTGACTTTGTTGATGCATGTCATCGTATCCAAATTGCTTGGATCCATGCTCATGATGTCAATCACTGGAATGTCTGGTCCAGACTCGGTTACTTACAGACCGCCGTCATATAGCTGGAATATTGCTGAGTGTGGCGTTAAACAACACACAACACAACACATACAACTATTTGTGGAGTTAACAAGATGTCAGTGTCAGTGAACTACAGCAGCATGTCATCATGTATGTGTGTGTTGCAGGAAGTATGAGCATTCCCTCACGCTGTTCGTGGTATCCACCGTGTCCTACGGCATGGGCTTCCTGTTGTGGAATGTGGACAACACTTTCTGTGGACATCTCAGGTAATCAGAGGCTGCAGGTTGTCACCTTGGTGGGTCCTCAGGTTCTATATATGGATGTGCATATGAAGCCTGCTCACTACCTCATAACTCAGATATATACCAAGCAAATGTACTACAGGACAATTGACATAATTTTATTATATTTGCCCAGCACACTATAGGACAATTCAAATATATGCCCAGCACACTACAAGACAATTCAGATATATGCCCAGCACACTACAAGACAATTCAAATATATGCCCAGCACACTACAAGACAATTCAGATATATGCCCAGCACACTACAAGACAATTCAGATATATGCCCAGCACACTACAAGACAATTCAGATATATGCCCAGCACACTACAAGACAATTCAGATATATGCCCAGCACACTACAAGACAATTCAAATATATGCCCAGCACACTACAAGACAATTCAGATATATGCCCAGCACACTACAGGACAATTCCAATATATGCCCAGCACATAACGAGACAATTCAAATATATGCAATCAAGCACTTGCATTTCTTGAACACTTCTCACACTGGGAAGACCATGCCCACTTCTTATCTTTCCTCAGCAAGTCATTTAGTGCATGTAGTACTGTTGATAAATGCTAAAAAAACCTCTCATAATAGTTCACAGCACCCAAAAACAAACACAGGTGCGATATACTCTCTGGTCTTGGAGCACTGTACCTTATCCTTAGCAGTGTGAAGTCCCTCACTATCCATCACATGACCTAGATACTTGACTGAATCGACAAAAACTTGCACGTCCCCTCTTCACTCTCAACCCATATTCCTGCAACCTTTTCAACACTGCCTCTTCATCACTTGATCCTGTCACCAAAATGTCATCTTGATGACCCAATACTTTGTCCAAGCCTTGCAATATCTGGTCCATTGTGGCCTGAAATATGGCTGGTGCAGAGGCGATGCCAAAAGCAAGACAGGTATACCTGTCAAGTCCCTTTGGTGTGTTAATTGTCAAACACTTCTGATAATCTACATCAACTTCATCTGTTGATATGCATGTGCTAAGACTGTTTTGGAAATTGTTCTTGCGCCAGCCAGAGAAGCAAACAAGTCTTCTATTTTGGGCAATGGGTACTTGGTAACACTGGGTTCACTGTAGACTTGAAGTCCCCACAAATTCTCACTGTTAGATCCCCTTTGAGGACAGGTACAATCAGAGTTGCCCACTCACTGTTAGATCCCCTTTGAGGACAGATACTATCGGAGTTGCCCACTCACTGTTAGATCCCCTTTGAGGACAGGTACAATCAGAGTTGCCCACTCACTGTTAGATCCCCTTTGAGGACAGGTACAATCAGAGTTGCCTCCTCACTGTTAGATCCCCTTTGAGGACAGGTACAATCAGAGTTGCCCACTCACTGTTAGATCCCCTTTGAGGACAGGTACAATCAGAGTTGCCCCCTCACTGTTAGATCCCCTTTGAGGACAGGTACAATCAGAGTTGCCCACTCACTGTTAGATCCCCTTTGAGGACAGGTACACCCGGAGTTGCCCACTCACTGTTAGATCCCCTTTGAGGACAGGTACAATCAGAGTTGTCCACTCACTGTTAGATCCCCTTTGAGGACAGGTACAATCAGAGTTGCCCCCTCACTGTTAGATCCCCTTTGAGGACAGGTACACCCGGAGTTGCCCACTCACTGTTAGATCCCCTTTGAGGACAGGTACAATCAGAGTTGCCTCCTCACTGTTAGATCCCCTTTGAGGACAGGTACAATCAGAGTTGCCCACTCACTGTTAGATCCCCTTTGAGGACAGGTACAATCAGAGTTGCCTCCTCACTGTTAGATCCCCTTTGAGGACAGGTACAATCAGAGTTGCCCACTCACTGTTAGATCCCCTTTGAGGACAGGTACAATCAGAGTTGCCCCCTCACTGTTAGATCCCCTTTGAGGACAGGTACAATCAGAGTTGCCCACTCACTGTTAGATCCCCTTTGAGGACAGGTACACCCGGAGTTGCCCACTCACTGTTAGATCCCCTTTGAGGACAGGTACAATCAGAGTTGTCCACTCACTGTTAGATCCCCTTTGAGGACAGGTACAATCAGAGTTGCCCCCTCACTGTTAGATCCCCTTTGAGGACAGGTACACCCGGAGTTGCCCACTCACTGTTAGATCCCCTTTGAGGACAGGTACAATCAGAGTTGCCTCCTCACTGTTAGATCCCCTTTGAGGACAGGTACAACCGGAGTTGCCCACTCACTGTTAGATCCCCTTTGAGGACAGATACAATCGGAGTTGCCCACTCACTGTGATCCGCTTTAATCAAAACCCTGTTCTTCTCCATTCGTGCAATCTCTTACTTCACCCTGTCCCGTCATGCTTTCATGAACCTTGGGGAAATTTTTGACAGATGGGTGAGCTTTAATACCTTCAATTGTACCATTTTCTTCAGAGAAAACATCACAGTACTTCACAAGTATCTCTTCCAACTTTTCTTGGCTTGAATCTTCGCTACATATGTGCATTTTTTCCACATATGGTGGCCATGCTCTTCCTAGCAGACGGGGCCCTTCCCCTTTCACAACATGCAAATCTTACTTCCTCCTGTTTGCAACATAAACTTTCAGTACACCAAAGTTTGTAACATGCTTACCTGTGTGAGTTCTCAAAGGTATTGTCGACTTGTCAAAGTGACAACCATTAAGAGGATCTTTGTACACTTCTTCTGTAATGATGAAATTTTGCGAACCAGTATCCAGTTCCATTCTTAGGTCACTGCGTTTATGTTGATGGTAACGCACATCACCCCAGAACTTCCGATCATAGCAAACATCTGACTCAAACACTCCGATAAATCAACGACAATAACCTCATTATCATTGTCAGTTGTGTCAATGGCATTTATACAAGCATTTGGCTTCTTACCGACATTGTTTACATTGCCATTTCCGATTGGCCATGAACTTGATCCTCGAACACGACCCAAACTTTTCATTTAAAAAACTGCATGCTGATGGCCTCGTTCGTCATAGAACGAACACACTGTATCCTTAAATCTGTAATTGTTGTCAAGATGAAATGAGTTACTGCATCAATAACTTAACTTAGTGTTTCCAGTCCTAGGTTTGCTTGTCAAATGAAAACACCTTGGTAGATCTGTGTCTCTTGTTGCCATCTCGGCTAAGTTCATTACAGTCCTTGGCCGCTTAGAATTTGCAATTGCGAAAACCTGGTCAATTTTCTTCTAACAATTTCCTTTGAATTGCCCCACAACTCTATGTTGAAGTTGTGCAGAATTTGATTCCAGAATGTTCTAGGTGTATTTTCTATGCTTGCAGGTACGCCAGGAAGAATGTTCTAGGGGCAGCAGGGCCAGTGACAGAGCTACATGCGTGGTGGCACCTACTGGCTGGTTTTGGAACCTATCTCTCCTTTCTCTTTGTGTGAGTATTTCCCATTCAAGAAAATATCTAGTAACACACAAACCATGTCTGCATCCTTCATCAAGAATAAATAACTATAAAGATTCAAATATTCATCTCAGATCAGACTTTTAATCCCAACGAATGCAGAAGGGAAGACATGTTGACATTTTATCACTGTAGGGTTGTATGACAGTTCCATCACTGTAGGATTGTATAACAGTTCGATCACTGTAGGGTTGTATAACAGTTCCATCACTGTAGGGTTTTATAACAGTTCCATCACTGTTGGGTTGTATAACAGTTCCATCACGGTTGGGTTGTATAGCTGTTCCATCACTGTAGGATTGTATAACAGTTCCATCACGGTTGGGTTGTATAACAGTTCCATCACTGTGGGGTTGTATGAAAGTTCCATCACCATAGGGTTGTATAACAGTTCCATCACTGTAGGATTGTATAACAGTTCCATCACTGTAGAATTGTATAACAGTTCCATCACTGTGGGGTTGTATAACAGTTCCATCACTGTTAGGTTGTATAATAGTTCCATCACTGTAGGATTGTATAACAGTTCCATCACTGTAGGGTTGTATAACAGTTCAATCACTGTGGGGTTGTATAACAGTTCCATCACTGTAGGATTGTATAACAGTTCAATCCCGGTTGGGTTGTATAACAGTTCCATCACTGTAGGGTATCATAACAGTTCCATCACTGTAGGGTTGTATAACAGTTCCCTCACTGTTGGGTTGTATAACAGATCCATCACTGTAGGATTGTATAACAGTTTCATCACGGTTGGGTTGTATAACAGTTCCATCACTGTGGGGTTGTATAACAGTTCCATCACTGTAGGATTGTATAACAGTTCCATCACGGTTGGGTTGTATAACAGTTCCATCACTGTGGGGTTGTATAACAGTTCCATCACTGTAGGATTGTATAACAGTTCCATCATGGTTGGGTTGTATAACAGTTCCATCACTGTGGGGTTGTATAACAGTTCCATCAATGTGGGGTTGTATAACAGTTCCCTCACTGTTGGGTTGTATAACAGTTCCATCACTGTAGGTTTGTATAACAGTTCCATTACTGTGGGTTTGTATAACAGTTCCATCACTGTAGGATTGTATAACAGTTCCCTCACTGTTGGGTTGTATAACAGTTCCATCACTATGGGGTTGTATAACAGTTCCATCACTGTAGTGTTGTATAACAGTTCCTTCACTGTTGGGTTGTATAACAGTTCCATCACTGTAGGGTTGTATAACAGTTCCATCACTGTAGGGTTGTATAACAGTTCCATCACTGTGGGGTTGTATAACAGTTCCATCACTGTGGGGTTGTATAACAGTTCCATCACTGTGGGGTTATATAACAGTTCCATCACTGTGGGGTTGTATAACAGTTCCATCACTGTAGGGTTGTATAACAGTTCCCTCACTGTGGGGTTATATAACAGTTCCATCACTGTTGGGTTGTATAACAGTTTCATCACTGTAGGGTTGTATAACAGTTCCATCACTAAGGGGGTTGTAAAACAGTTCCATCACTGTTGGGTTGTATAACAGTTCCATCACTGTTGGGTTGTATAACAGTTCCATCACTGTGGGGTTGAAAAACAGTTCCATCGCTGTTGGGTTGTATAACAGTTCCATCACTGTAGGGTTGTATAACAGTTCCATCACTGTGGGGTTGAAAAACAGTTCCATCGCTGTTGGGTTGTATAACAGTTCCATCACTGTAGGATTGTATAACAGTTCCATCACTGTTGGGTTGTATAACAGTTCCATCACTGTGTTTCAACTTGTTTAGTTTACTTGTTCTGTCAGATGCCTGAATTTATTTTTTCCAAAGAATTTTATTTTATTAACAGCTACATCTTTTGGGGACTAAACTTTTGAGGCTTAACTTTTAAATATCCAATTACCCATGCATATTTATATTTATATTATTAGAAACATTTCTAGTGAATCAATGTACATGTATTGGTCCTTAATTATGGGTGTGTTCTTTTTCTAGAACACACACCCGCTATCTGTACTTGAAGAAACAACCAAAGATAAAGGTGAGTCATGCCTTAGTAACATTGCCTGCTCCCTGTCACTTGAAATCTCAGGGTCAGGGCTCTACCATCAAAGCATCTGTAAAGCAATGGCAGTTGTAAGTCTGTTAAGCTATAAAATTATGATAATTGCAGCACAATGAATGATTTGTGGATCCTGCTCCAGATTCACAATGTGACCTGAGCTCTGTGTCTGCCAGTAGTCTGTGGTGGAGTGTTGACAGGAACAGGAACAAGAACGAGGACAGGTTCCTGGCTCTGGGGTTGCATTATTTTTGTCTTCATGTCCTGGGCCCACTTGCACAAAGCGATCTTAGCAGCGGTAAGATGATTGTAACTCCCATACTTTAACATAGGTCTACGATAGTCTTAGCGCTAAGATCGCTCTGTGCAAGTGGGCCCTAGACCTTGGCCCAGTCTAAAAAGAGATATTAGCACTAGGACTAAGACTGTATCAGGGTATGGAATAATGGAAGTTACAGCGTTAATATCCAGTTGACATATGGTCACAAGTCATGGCAAAAAGAGAGATTTTCTAATATACCACACAGCTTTTGAGAGGGATACTGAGATATGGAAACCTTTCTGGGTAATTATTTTGGTGCCTCATGGTACAATAGGAATTTCCCAATCCAATGTTGAGTAGCATAGTTTCAAATCACTTAGTCTGAAACTACCCGAACAGGCATCTTGTTAAAGTCTCTCCTATCCTGAGACCAAGTTTCAGCACCTACACTTGTCAGCTGCCTTGGTTTGTTTGTTGTTTAATGCTGCACTCAGCAATAATCCAGCTATATGACATTGGTGCGCCATCAAGTCTTGACCAGACAATCCAGTGATTGACATTGATTTACGCCACTGGGATACATGACATGCATCAACGAAGTCAGCGAGCCTGACCACCCTGCCCCGTTAGTCGCCTCTTCCAACAAGCTTGTGTTGCTAAAGACCAAGTTTAACCTAGATTTTCATGAACGATGGCCTCAGTGGAGCTCTTGGTTGGAAACATTTGTTGTGCATTTCTTGCTGTAACACATTTGGTAGCAGGCATGAAATTAATTTGATTCAGTTTTTAGGATTTCATAGAAATATGAGAGCCTTTCATGAAATAATATCATCTCACCTGAATGGTATTAATGTATCAGCACTCCAGTCATAACTTACCGTATTCGACCTATGGGCACTCTTAAAATTAGAAATAGGGGGCTCTTATTAGAATATAATTTTGGTGAGAAAAGAAATAGAGTTGAAAAATCGTAAATTTCTTGGTTTATGCTGACAACCTTCAGTGTATCAAAAGAAAGGTCTGTGCTTATTATGCACGACAGATATATTTTCCAGAATTTAATTGCCTATAATTAAGGGTGTATATAACACACAAGTGAGTTTTATACACGAATAAATAAGTCTTGTGTACATTGATCAATCGGAAGGGATGCTATTTGGGATTGTTCACTAGCCAGTATACTAGCAAATATCGCCGTGGGCTCTTAATCATTAGAGTGGGGTGCTTATTACGTCAAATACGGTAATGGTTATTAATTGTGTTTCAAGTTTTATGTGCTTAAAGGAGATGTTTCATCTTCAATATCTTTTATGCATATATTGAGGCTAAGGTGTTCAATACCTAGAGTGGTTAAAGTTATCTCCCTTCATATATATCTGACTGCCTTTTCAGCTTTGATGTAGACGTGTGAAACTGAAAAGAGCTGAAACATTTAATTGGCCCTCTGATTACTGTACTATAGTAAACCCAGATGGGGTATTGCACACAAACAAAACACATCATTTTCCTGGTCTCAGTGCTGATTGAGTGAGTGAGTTTGGTTTTACGCCGCTTTTAGCAATATTCCAGCAATAGCACGGCGGGGGACACCAGAAATGGGCTTCACACATTGTACCCATGTCGGGAATCGAACCCGGGTCTTCGGCGTGACGAGCGAACGCTTTAACCACTAGGCTACTCGACCGCCCCTTCAGTGATGATTGATTTGGTTTGACCATTTGATGTTCTCTGGGGGAGGGGGGAGGTCAAGGGGACTCTGGCATTGAAGAAAAGAAGCAAGGTTTGTTCCAGAAATATATAATTTGTCCTCCACTTTTACCCCCCAAATAAATTGAAATTGTTTGGACATGCTGGATGATCTGAATAAGATATGTTGTGAATTGTGTTCTAGTTATTCCAATCCTCCTTTGATTGCATGTTTAATCTCAATCCTGCCAGAATTATTAAGTGGTGTGTCCCGTATGGTTAACTATACAAGACACCAAAAGAAACTGCACATATGATTATAGCATATACACAGTTTCTTTTTGTGCCTAGTATATCTAGTCGCAGTGTTGGAAATCTATAGCTAGATGATGCTTTGTGTTTCAGTTTCTGCATGGTATTGCACCGTATGTGACTGTGAATCACGACAGGAGATGACGCACCAGTGCCTGCTAGCCACGCCCCTCCAACCTGCGTCCCCCGATCACTTGCTACACACGTACAGGAACATCATCCACAACACATGGCTCATGTCATTCCGTATACATTTCTTCTCACAAAGGGCATTTGTATTGTTATTTTGATGTCGAAACCTCAGACTCAGTAATCTCAATTCATTATTGAAATAGGCACAGTTTTTTGCCCACAAAGCTATTTTACAATTTTGTGGTTTGACTGGCTCAATATACCCCCAAGTCTGACTGCTGGTTGCTAGGATACGGCTGTATATTGTAAACTGCAGTATATGGTTCCAGTCTGACTGCTGGTTGCTAGGTTATGGCTGTATATTGTATACTGTAGTATATGGCTCCAGTCTGACTGTTGGTTGCTAGGATACGGCTGTATATTGTATAAAGCAGTATATGGCTCCAGTCTGACTGCTGGTTGCTAGGATACAGCTGTATATTGTATCCTGCGGTATATGGCTCCAGTCTGACTGCTGGTTGCTAGGATATGGCTGTGATTTTGCCGACTAGGTTGAGTCAGCTCACACACACACTTGCTCATATTGTCCTGCAATCGTGGACTTTATCATTTAACATGCTGTTGTTTCCTCTGTCAGTTTTTAATGGTTTTTATTTAGATATTTTGAAATATAAATGGGAATTCAAATATGTATATGTATATCTCTTCAAAATCTGTATTCTTGTAATGAATGATAAACTGAGTGAAATATGGTTTAGAGAAGCTGAAATATTTACTTTGTGGTGAATATTATATCACTTCTGGGGCTTGTTTGTTCATTGTTTTCTCATGTGATTGTCAGTGACAAAAGCTAGTATTACCAAGAATGTTCTCCGGTGTTTTCTTGAAGTAGTTCTTGCAGGGCCAAAAGATCCCCAAGATTTCACTTACAGTAGTGAGATGGAAACTGTCCTATGTATGCTACTCTAAATATGTTAAGGAACACACCATTTTTTTCATATGACTAGAGTTAATCTGTAATGCCAATCTTCCCGAGGCAAAGAAGTTAACTGACTGTAAAAGTCCAGTTTCCACCCTTGCAGAACTAGACTGGAATTTCGTGGCTCAAATGTATTGTGAGTTCATTAACCAATCAGATTCCACCACTCATATCACTTGCATTTTGCTTCAAATGCAGTCAAGGCGATCATTAATCAAGATCTTGATTGTTGTAAAAACGGGTCTTACCCCGTACAGTGCATCAAATCAACTATAAAACTCAACAATTCCAGCCTAGTTTGTCAAGGGTGGAAACTGGACTTTTTACAGTTAACTCCCTGCCTCAGGAAGATGGTCCTGTCCTGACAGAGTAACTGCAGTCAAATGAACAAATCAAGCATTCTTTAACTTCCTTTTAGTAGTATATTATAACTAATTACTTTGAAGCATAAAAGCCTTGAGAAATAACTTCATGGCACATAATTGCAGAGTGCGATACATTTGAAAGCTGACTTGATCACTTTTCACAATAACATTGTCACTATATATGCTTTTTAATGAAGGATTCCTAAGATCTATTTTTGTACCTTTTCTCAATGAATATTTGCCATTGATGGGTTTGAATGGTGGAACCTTCAGCTCCTACATCAGCTGTTTGCAGGACTATCCAGCATACTTGAGACATCATCCAGGCATCATCGTCATCAGGATGAAATTCCATCAGAAAGCGTTTATATTCCCCTTGATTAGAGAGGACATTTGTGTAACCTAGGTAACACTCTCTCAAGTGATTATTGTCAAACTTCAGATGTCCAGTTTTATTTTCAGCCTCATTGATCTTGGTAGCCATGATAACAATGAGAAATAATGCTGGATAGTAAAAGTTTTACAAATATCGTGTTAGTTAGTGTTGGCTTGAAGTAACACAGCTATTCAGTATGTGTGCTAGGCCATGAAGATATTCATGGTTGTTCCATCATTGCCACAAAGTCCATCTTCCTGAGGCAAGTGTTTCCACCCTTACCATTTCAAGCCTACTATTCTGTGCTAAACCATCAGACTATTAAAAATATCGATAGTTCAAACAGATACAAAAATTAAGCAGATACTGATATTTTCGAAGTGGTTTAAAGTTTTCAATCAACTTGCCCAGGTACTTTTTTATGTTTGAGTGCAAACTTCATTGTTCTTTAAACTCCAACGACTGAACCCTTATCACAGTGACAGTGATTTCTTATGAATATGGAAAGGGTTTTGTTGCTTTTATTATTGTGAAGCCATTCAAAAATGTAAAGCGATCTGATTGGATATTGCGTTTTCATCACATGGGACAGAACTCATGTTCTACATGCGGTGGCAACATGATCTAGCGAAGAAAAGGAGGCTTGAAATCACAAGTGTAGAAACTAGGCTTTGATGCAGGCTAGTGGGCACTCTGACCCAAGGAAGATGCACAAAGTCATGAATGGTTTCACTGTATTGTTCATAGTGGTAGACCTGTTGTTTATTAGAAATCTGTTGACAATTTTTAATAAAACAGTATTAAGTATTGCTCTGGTTAATGTGCATGACAGCTTCATTGTCATTTTGTATTTTTAGTGATTCTTGCAGCCTGCTGCAATGGGGGTTTGTTGTTGTTTAATGTCTTCATCAGAAGTAACACTTGTTTTGTCACGGTCAGTGTTGATCTCACTTTTCTCACTGCCTGTTGTTTCCATTAAGTCCCGAACAATAATTTGACATAATGGTGGCATAATCATTGGCTTGTCGCAGTAAAGACAAATGTTCCGTTTCCCGCATACCGTATCTGCTGTAATAAGTACCTTGGGCGATAAACAATTGACAAGGGGGCATTTATTTAAACCAAAACATTTTTTTCAGTGATCAAGTGTAAGTGAACAAACTTTAAATGTGCATGAAACTAAAATGTTTTTGATAATATTTCACTCTACGGTACTGTTTTTCAAGAAAATATGGACTGTTATGAAAAGTTTTGATCTTAGAAGGGTGTGCTAAATTAAATTAAATAGATTGGTCTAGAATTTGGTCATGGGGGCTTATTGAATCAGGGCGCTTACTACAGCGAATATGGTAGGCACAATATGTGAAGCCTTTTCTTGTGTCCCCTGCCATGATAGGGCTGGAGTGTGGCAAGTGTACCAGTTACACACACATGCAATATGAAGTGTTCAGACTCAAACAGAGTTCAGACAAAAGTACCTCGTAAAGGTTTGTGAAGCAAGAACTAACTCAGATACTTGGTCCTAAATTAGTAAATAAATGTAACATCTGCGACCCTGACATTTTTGTCACATCCTCAACAAGGCAGTTGATGAGGTGTTCGATCTAACACGGTTCTCAAGCAAGTTATATAACCTGCTTTATAACGGCGTTGCACCATCCGTACAGCTTGTCAGTAATGACGTCGACTTCAACCCAGAGATCCTATACCTCAACTTACAAAACATAAAACACTATGATCAAAAAGTAAATTCTTGATTTCAGATGTTTCTTTCCTCCATGTATGTGTGGCCACATACAGAAGGCAACATGACCTGCGTTGTGACCGCCATGAATATGAATTAGTGGCAGGGTTCAATATTTTGCAGGGGTGATGGGTATGGTACAGCAGGTGTATATGCTCTACTGTGCTTGACAGTGCTTTGTGTGCGGAACATCCATATTCATAGGGGCGGTCAGGTAGCCTAGTGGTTAAAGCGTTCTCTCGTCACGCCGAAGACCCAGTTCGATTCCCGACATGGGTACAATGTGTGAAGCCTTTTTCTGGTGTCCCCCGCCGTGATATTGCTGGGACATTGCTAAAAGCTGTGTTAAACCATACTCACTCACTCATTGCATATTCATAAGCCTTTGGTTATTTTTAAGGTTAGTTGAATTGATCAGTACAGTTACCGGTCTAAGGACCGCCCCTTGGTCTAGTGGATAGAGCATCTGCTTGTATAGCTGAAGGGCGGTGGTTCGACCCCTTATACTCAAAAACGTAAAAAGATGGTAATTTGTTGTTACCCTGCAGGCACTCGGCATTAAGGGGCTAAAACAAGGATTGGTCGGCTCAGAGTCAGTATACTGTGTCTGAGCACGGACTTGTATATAGGTGTGTGGTCTGAGTGAGGTATCCATGTTAAACTGCGGTATGGTATCTCGGTGGGCTAGTACAAGCAGCACCCCACAACACATGCATGCATGCACATTACTGTATCAGTGCCACAATTTTGAAGGTGATGTTAATCCCATCCCACCTCTCCTGTCTGAGTAAATTAGCAGTGACAGTGGCCTGAGACAAGGTGTACAGTTGTCTCACTTGTGTGAGAGTGGTTCTGTCACCTGTAATAGTGTGCGGTGTACAGCTACAAGCTGTGTAAACTACCCACACGCCCACGTGACAAACCACCTGTAATAGTGTCTGGTGTACAGCTACAAGCTGTGTAAACTACCCACACGCCCACATCACAAACCACCTGTAACAATATTGGATTAGCCCACTTTTTACAAATGTTTCCTGGAGCAACACATCTGTCTACCTGTACAGATCAATATCTAGTAACCCCCCTTACCTGAAACAGGTATTTGAGTGATGCTTTACTGTGGCTTAGTGCATATCTTTTGAAAAAATATTTCTCAATAATTAAGTTCATGTCCAATTTGGGAGCATAAGATTATTACAAACTATCCTCAATACACAGAGTTGTGGAGACGCTGTAACTCACTATGATGACACCAGGGGCCCATTTCATGAGGCAATCTTAAGCCTGATTATTTTATGAGATCAGCTAACATAAAAAACCTGAAATTAGAAAAAAATATAAGGAGTTTTGACAATTTACAATTACCGTATTCGACGTATTAAGCCAATAGTGGGCTCTTATTAGAATATAATTTTGGTGAGAACAAAAACAGAGTTGAAAAATTGTAAATTTCATACAGTAGTTTATGCTGACAGCCTGAAATGATACAAAAGAAAAGTATGTACGTATCATCTCACACGACAGATATATTTTCCAGAATTTAATTGCCCACAATTAAGGGTGCATATTACACACGAGTGAGTATTATACACGAATCAATAAGTCTTATGTACATTGATCAATCGGAAGGGGTGCTAATTGGGATTGTTCACTAGCAAATATATTAGCAAATATCACCATGGGCGCTTATTCAAACAGGGCGCTTATTACGTCGAATACGGTAAATGAAATGAAATATGTTTTAGATTTTATCACTGCTGTTTGTAAGAAATGGTGAAATTATGTATAAATATCTTTATTTCAACAACCAAAAAAAAAAATCAGTTATCTTTCGGTATTATTGTATGTAGCCAGCTCATGTACCCAATTGAGAATCAATTGCAGTACACCTTACGTAACTTGCATATCTTACATAAGTATCATTGGGCTGAGATGAACGATGTTTATCCGAAAACATTGGGTCAAGGGAAGTAACTTGGTTTGTTTGCATTGTCTGCTAACAGGCAAAACGTTTGAATTAAAGCATTTTACTAAGTGAAACTTCGGACATATATTCCTGTCTGTATGAATGAAAGTCGTTGAGATGCATTTGTTATCAACCGATCCCTCAGGTGCACATGGCGTGATGTACACTGTGTGTGAAGTTCACTGTGAACCTATGTACCCCAAGCCCTCAAAGTCTCACACACAGGGTACATCACACAATGTACTCCTCCAGTTCGGTTGATAACTCGTATTGTACGGCTAAGATCACAGCCACCAGCCCTATAACACTTACAGATGAGCTAACTCTGAGTTGTTGCCCTTTGCAAAATATCAGTCTGAGTGATCTCCCCTTTTAACTCATGATGTTACAGTTGCATGCAATGCTTCCCATTGTTATCATGTCAGTGTAGCAAGAAATGCTGTAACAAGTTCAGTTAGAACTACCAATATATCACTTTAATACTAATCAATCTAATAAATGTATATATATTGGTATAGCATTGTAGTTTACAAACATTTAGCTATTGGATTATTTAACCATGTTTATTTACTCACCACATGAACTTCTAGTCACATATTTCACTATGATTGCCGCCCTCATAACTTTCAATACAAATATTGCCACATGGATGAAGTCAGGTGATACTGCATTTATCACATAGCCAAGATTTGCCCAATTCCACCACATATTTTTATACACCGTTTTATACGTTTTGAGGTTGTCATTATTTACACTTTTATGATGGTAATACAAATATCCAAAGCATTGACTGCAGAAGTGATCACGGTTGTTACTTTGATATTTGTATGTGAATTTACTTGGTGCTTTGGATGTGTGTGAAATGTTAATAACTTGTACATGTCATGATTCACATTTCATTCGTTTCTTTAGTTTCTATATGGTTATTAAGTGTATTAGTGTTATTGTACTTTTGGCAGACTGTGGACTGTTCTGACAGAGTTCTGCGGACATGGTTCTGCGGACTGTGTTATGCAGACAGAGTTCTGCGGACATGGTTCTGCAGACTGTATTATGCAGAGTTCTGTGGACTGGGTTCTGCGGATTGAGTTTTCACCCTTAACACCCCCCAGGGGTCACCCTGAGCCCCTCCAGGGGTCACCCTGGACCTCCCCAGGTGGAGCCCTGAACCTCCCCAGGTGGGGACCCTATCCCTACCCATGTGGAACATGCATAATGGAGGGTGCATTGAGGTTTCAGCAGTCAACAGACATATTTTGAAATCCAAGGAATGAAAAAATGTTTTGCTTTTTCTTGAAGTATGGATAATATGGGTCAATAATAAGTTGTATGAAACTCTTTAGTTTGCAATGGCATCATGTTATCTTGTCCCTCCTAGGTAGGTAATTTCCACTTCAGATGTGGTATATCTTATAACGTGTAATATATGACTATATGACTTTAATAAGGCCACAATAAATTAATTTTAAGAATTTCATACACATTTCTAAAAAGAATTAATTTAAAGGCAAATGTGAACATTAACTGTCGACGGATGTGGTTTGTTTGGTTTGTTTATGATTTAACGCAGCACTCAGCAATATCCCAGCTATATGATGGCAGTCTGTCAATAATCGAGTCTGGACCAGACAATCCAGTGATTGATATCATGAGCATTGATCTGCGCAATTGAGATCGATGGCATGCATCAACCAAAGTCAGCAAGCCTGACCACCCGATTCCGTTAGTCGCCTCTTACGACAAGCACAGTCACCTTTTACGGCAAACATGAGTTGCTCGACGGATGTGATTCAACTGAAGCGTGAATGGGTTTGGGGTATATTTCGTCAAATAGCGAATAGGTGACACACATACCAGTTTTCTTTGTTGGTAATGAGGTGATCAGGTTGAAAATCTAAAATTTAATTTATTTTGGCCTATTGGTGGTGGTGCTCAATTTAGCATACAATATACGATAATTATCCTAACACTTACCTCACAATACAGCCAGTGTCATGCTACAGACACAGTGTACATCATGATATTTCCATCATGGCATGTATTTCTTGAATTTCAATTACATTGTATTTACCATGTAGCAAGTATAATAATGAAAGCTCCTCTGAACTCGTGTGAAAATATTGTATTGTTGTGATGAACTGTTCATGTGGATTAATGGTTGTTATGCTGAAACATTACATGGAAGACATACAGCTTACAAGGATAAATATCCATTTCTCTGTCTGTACTGCTCCAAGTATAAGATTCACCTGGAACCATGCTCCTCTTCTGGAACTCCAATGCCAAGATGCCTGTTTTAGGTCTACATGTATGTGTATTGAACACCTAGCATCTGAGGTTGTCCCTAGTTTCAATGTCAGTCGAGTGCATCTGTGGATGTCTGAGGCCTTTAGCTGTTTGATCATGGTCTGTACCTGAACTAGGGGGCACGGGTGGCCCAGTCGTCTAAGGCGCCGCGATTTGCTGTGCAGAGTTGCATCCCCTCGACACGCCAGAAACCTATGATTGTGGGTTCAAATCCCGGTTCACACTGATTATGTTTCTAGGTTTGTCAGCACCATATCCGTGCTCGTGGATTTCACCAAAGTGGTAAACCTCTGAGACCTGCATCACTTCGGGCTTTCCTCCCACATCAAGCTGACACGCTGTGATATAACTGGAATAATGTTAAAAGCAGCGTTAAACCCAACTCACTCACTCACTCACTGTACCTGAACTAGCCACGTGGAAGTGTTTGCCTTGTTGTTATGTGAAACAGCCATAACGTAGGAAGAGGGACAAAGTGTAGACAATACTGTTTCAGGCCAAGTCTGTCATGCAGACCCTGAAAGAAATATATCCAAGACAGCCCATGAAAGTCTATAATATTTGGCAAGTCTAGATTACTGCAGTATCAGGAAAATGAAGAAAGCCTCTTGGCTCCTGTTTATTATATTTCATAACAATAATTTAACAACTGTTTTTGTCTGTAAAATATGTTGATTTCAGAGACTTGATGTTAGTCTATTTCAGGCCATGTGATATAAATAATTGTTTCTCTTCATTTATTTGTCCACAAATGTTTGTTTAATAGGATGAGTAAAATCCAAAATGAACGATAGAATAAATGAACTAATAGCATAAAGAACTCAACAGCTGAACCTTTACCAGAGTATACATTATAGTGTATCTGCTCGATTTCAGAAATCCTGTGTGGAGGTATTTATTTTATGAATATGTACTACCAAAATCAAAACTAATGTGATCCCTTATAAGCATTTGCAAGTTCATGTTATACATTTATGGTATGTTTTTTGTTTTATCAAAAGGACTGTGTGTTTATTGTATACAACATTATGACTTGATAATGTGGTCTGTATGATGTGTATAAGTAAGCTAACGAAAGATGTTGTTTTGCTTTTTGGAAAGATGATCATTGTCATGTAGCCATCAGCTGACTATATACTAGCATGTAGCCTTCCTCTGTGTAATAAAGGTTTACATGTTTGATGATGTTTTTTGTGGTTATTAGCTCATCTTTATGCACGCTTCCATCTCTGGTCTTCTTCCATTGTCCATCCATCTTTTATCGATACAAGCTTCCATCTTTGGTCTTTTTGTCCATTGTCCATCCATCTTTGCCAATATAAGCTTCCTCCCTTGATCTTGGACTAACCATCTTTTGTCGATATAAGCTTCCTTCTTTGTCTTTTGTGATTGCCCAATACAAGCTTCTTTGTCAATCCAGGGTCTTCGTTGGTCTCTATCCATTGCCCATCCATCTTTTGTCAATACAAGGTTCTTCGTTGGTCTCTATCCATTGCCCATCCATCTTTTGTCAATACAAGGTTCTTCGTTGGTCTCTATCCATTGCGCGTCCATCTTTTGTCAATACAAGGTTCTTCGTTGGTCTCGATCCATTGCCCGTCCATCTTTTGTCAATACAAGGTTCTTCGTTGGTCTCTATCCATTGCCCATCCATCTTTTGTCAATACAAGGTTCTTCGTTGGTCTCGATCCATTGCCCGTCCATCTTTTGTCAATACAAGGTTCTTCGTTAGTCTCTATCCATTGCCCGTCCATCTTTTGTCAATACAAGGTTCTTCGTTGGTCTCTATCCATTGCCCGTCCATCTTTTGTCAATACAAGGTTCTTCGTTGGTCTCTATCCATTGCCCGTCCATCTTTTGTCAATACAAGGTTCTTCGTTGGTCTCTATCCATTGCCCATCCATCTTTTGTCAATACAAGGTTCTTTGTTGGTCTCTATCCATTGCCCTTCCATCTTTTGTCAATACAAGGTTCTTTGTTGGTCTCTATCCATTGCCCTTCCATCTTTTGTCAATACAAGGTTCTTTGTTGGTCTCTATCCATTGCCCATCCATCTTTTGTCAATACAAGGTTCTTCGTTGGTCTCTATCCATTGCCCGTCCATCTTTTGTCAATACAAGGTTCTTTGTTGGTCTCTATCCATTGCCCATCCATCTTTTGTCAATACAAGGTTCTTCGTTGGTCTCTATCCATTGCCCGTCCATCTTTTGTCAATACAAGGTTCTTTGTTGGTCTCTATCCATTGCCCGTCCATCTTTTGTCAATACAAGGTTCTTCGTTGGTCTCTATCCATTGCCCGTCCATCTTTTGTCAATACAAGGTTCTTTGTTGGTCTCTATCCATTGCGCGTCCATCTTTTGTCAATACAAGGTTCTTCGTTGGTCTCGATCCATTGCCCGTCCATCTTTTGTCAATACAAGGTTCTTTGTTGGTCTCTATCCATTGCCCGTCCATCTTTTGTCAATACAAGGTTCTTCGTTGGTCTCTATCCATTGCGCGTCCATCTTTTGTCAATACAAGGTTCTTCGTTGGTCTCGATCCATTGCCCATCCATCTTTTGTCAATACAAGGTTCTTCGTTGGTCTCTATCCATTGCCCATCCATCTTTTGTCAATACAAGGTTCTTTGTTGGTCTCTATCCATTGCCCGTCCATCTTTTGTCAATACAAGGTTCTTCGTTGGTCTCTATCCATTGCCCATCCATCTTTTGTCAATACAAGGTTCTTCGTTGGTCTCTATCCATTGCCCGTCCATCTTTTGTCAATACAAGGTTCTTTGTTGGTCTCTAGCCATTGCCCGTCCATCTTTTGTCAATACAAGGTTCTTCGTTGGTCTCTATCCATTGCCCATCCATCTTTTGTCAATACAAGGTTCTTCGTTGGTCTCTATCCATTGCCCGTCCATCTTTTGTCAATACAAGGTTCTTTGTTGGTCTCTATCCATTGCCCATCCATCTTTTGTCAATACAAGGTTCTTCGTTGGTCTCTATCCATTGCGCGTCCATCTTTTGTCAATACAAGGTTCTTTGTTGGTCTCTATCCATTGCCCATCCATCTTTTGTCAATACAAGGTTCTTCGTTGGTCTCTATCCATTGCCCATCCATCTTTTGTCAATACAAGGTTCTTCGTTGGTCTCTATCCATTGCCCATCCATCTTTTGTCAATACAAGGTTCTTCGTTGGTCTCTTTCCATTGCCCGTCCATCTTTTGTCAATACAAGGTTCTTTGTTGGTCTCTATCCATTGCCCATCCATCTTTTGTCAATACAAGGTTCTTCGTTGGTCTCTTTCCATTGCCCGTCCATCTTTTGTCAATACAAGGTTCTTCGTTGGTCTCTATCCATTGCCCATCCATCTTTTGTCAATACAAGGTTCTTTGTTGGTCTCTATCCATTGCCCGTCGATCTTTTGTCAATACAAGGTTCTTCGTTGGTCTCTATCCATTGCCCGTCCATCTTTTGTCAATACAAGGTTCTTTGTTGGTCTCTATCCATTGCCCGTCCATCTTTTGTCAATACAAGGTTCTTCGTTGGTCTCTTTCCATTGCCCGTCCATCTTTTGTCAATACAAGGTTCTTCGTTGGTCTCTTTCCATTGCCCGTCCATCTTTTGTCAATACAAGGTTCTTTGTTGGTCTCTATCCATTGCCCTTCCATCTTTTGTCAATACAAGGTTCTTTGTTGGTCTCTATCCATTGCCCGTCCATCTTTTGACAATACAAGGTTCTTCGTTGGTCTCTATCCATTGCCCTTCCATCTTTTGTCAATACAAGGTTCTTTGTTGGTCTCTATCCATTGCCCGTCCATCTTTTGTCAATACAAGGTTCTTTGTTGGTCTCTATCCATTGCCCGTCCATCTTTTGTCAATACAAGGTTCTTCGTTGGTCTCTTTCCATTGCCCGTCCATCTTTTGTCAATACAAGGTTCTTTGTTGGTCTCTATCCATTGCCCGTCCATCTTTTGTCAATACAAGGTTCTTCATTGCTCTCAATCCATTGCCCGTCCATCTTTTGTCAATACAAGGTTCTTTGTTGGTCTCTATCCATTGCCCGTCCATCTTTTGTCAATACAAGGTTCTTCGTTGGTCTCTTTCCATTGCCCGTCCATCTTTTGTCAATACAAGGTTCTTCGTTGGTCTCTTTCCATTGCCCGTCCATCTTTTGTCAATACAAGGTTCTTCGTTGGTCTCTTTCCATTGCCCGTCCATCTTTTGTCAATACAAGGTTCTTCGTTGGTCTCTATCCATTGCCCGTCCATCTTTTGTCAATACAAGGTTCTTTGTTGGTCTCGATCCATTGCCCATCCATCTTTTGTCAATACAAGGTTCTTTGTTGGTCTCGATCCATTGCCCGTCCATCTTTTGTCAATACAAGGTTCTTTGTTGGTCTCTATCCATTGCCCTTCCATCTTTTGTCAATACAAGGTTCTTCGTTGGTCTCTATCCATTGCCCGTCCATCTTTTGTCAATACAAGGTTCTTCGTTGGTCTCTATCCATTGCCCTTCCATCTTTTGTCAATACAAGGTTCTTTGTTGGTCTCTATCCATTGCCCATCCATCTTTTGTCAATACAAGGTTCTTCGTTGGTCTCTATCCATTGCCCGTCCATCTTTTGTCAATACAAGGTTCTTCGTTGGTCTCTATCCATTGCCCGTCCATCTTTTGTCAATACAAGGTTCTTCGTTGGTCTCTATCCATTGCCCATCCATCTTTTGTCAATACAAGGTTCTTTGTTGGTCTCTATCCATTGCCCATCCATCTTTTGTCAATACAAAGTTCTTCGTTGGTCTCTATCCATTGCCCATCCATCTTTTGTCAATACAAGGTTCTTCGTTGGTCTCTTTCCATTGCCCGTCCATCTTTTGTCAATGCAACGTTCTTCGTTGGTCTCTATCCATTGCCCTTCCATCTTTTGTCAATACAAGGTTCTTCGTTGGTCTCTATCCATTGCCCGTCCATCTTTTGTCAATACAAGGTTCTTCGTTGGTCTCTATCCATTGCCCGTCCATCTTTTGTCAATACAAGGTTCTTCGTTGGTCTCTATCCATTGCCCGTCCATCTTTTGTCAATACAAGGTTCTTCGTTGGTCTCTATCCATTGCCCATCCATCTTTTGTCAATACAAGGTTCTTCGTTGGTCTCTATCCATTGCCCATCCATCTTTTGTCAATACAAGGTTCTTCGTTGGTCTCTATCCATTGCCCATCCATCTTTTGTCAATACAAGGTTCTTCGTTGGCCTCGATCCATTGCCCGTCCATCTTTTGTCAATACAAGGTTCTTCGTTGGTCTCTATCCATTGGCCATCCATCTTTTGTCAATACAAGGTTCTTCGTTGGTCTCTATCCATTGCACGTCCATCTTTTGTCAATACAAGGTTCTTCGTTGGTCTCTATCCATTGGCTATCCATCTTTTGTCAATACAAGGTTCTTCGTTGGTCTCTATCCATTGGCCATCCATCTTTTGTCAATACAAGGTTCTTCGTTGGTCTCCATCCATTGCCCATCCATCTTTTGTCAATACGAATTTCGTTCTTTGGTCTTTGTCCATCAAACCAAAGGCAACACATTTTCAAAATTTTCTCCCCCGTAGCTAGTAAGCAAAAGTAGATTTTTCAAAATGACCACTAGATATTGAATAAAATATGGCCTTGACGGCGTTGGACATTTTGTTACAAAGGATGTTTATCATGTAATAAGGCGGTTCTTTACTTGCTGTATACATGTAGATGAACAATTGCTGTTGTGCTGAATAGACTCTCTCACATCAAGTTTGTTTCACATTTAGCCATCATCAAACAAACATGGGTGTATACTCTGATTGCCCGGGAGTTTATGACTGTGTGATGTCATATTTGTGGCGTTCGATCAAACACACACGTTGCGCAAATTCTGCATCTCTGAAGTACAATCAGATTATGTTTGATCGATCAAGATAACAGACAATTAAACGTGTTTTGATAAACTAATTAAAACTTCACATGACTGAATACAATTTTGTCCATGCCATGTTTCTCTCAGAAAACGTAAATAATAACAACAGGAATTGAATCTGACAACACAACACCAATGATATTGCTATATTTTAATGACAAAAAACAAAGAGTACATTCGGAGTTGAAAACATAAATATCAATACTGTGTCAGCTAGCGACCCACAGTTCCGTCATAAGTATATGAAGTAAACACTTGTAAACACCATGGAACCGTAGGCCTTATTTACTGAAGAGGAATGGCTGTAGACACTGAAAGACGACAGTTTTGTGGTTCAAGATAAAACGTACTTGGGAGGCTCATACTGACTTGTCTGGCCTCGTTTTGAATTAACCAATCGCCTTCACTCTCTGAATATGTTTAATTGTGACAATTGCCACTTAAAAGCAAAGGTGTGTTTGACCAATTTTCAGTTGGGAGATTCCCTTTAAAGGTCAAATAAGTATTCCGTGACCACGGTGTCTGGAAATGATTATAGAAAATACTGTTTGTGACATTTTGTGGTTTGAAATGATTAGGAAGAAACGCGTTTGTCTCATCAATGCCCCAATACGTATTTTGATTATTGCTTTTAGCCTAGCAATTGCGTCTGTTTTCCAATCTTGGGTAATAATACTGGTTGTAGAATACGATAGACAGTGATAACCCTCAGAAAGACAAGTAAACACGATATTCCTCCCGTCTTCCCAGAACTCCATGGACCAAAAGTCATGAGGTGGGCGTCCAGGAAATCAACATAAACTAAAACGTCTAAACGAAAACATCTGATATTTGAGCAACTTTTTTATATCACATCAGCTTGGACACTCCGATTCATCTCCTATGACTTTGGTCGGCAGGTATTGCTCAAAATGTCAAAGAGAGTAAGCTCCCTTGGTGTTCATGAAAACATCTGATGACGTCATCACAGAAGAGGCGTGGTTAGTCTGTTGCCTCTACTGTGTCGGGGATCGGGAGGCTGTTCCGAATGGTGACGGATATTGCCGAAGCCAGGGTGTATTCCTACGGAATCCATATTTCCCATTGTACCCGACAACAGGCTTCACTCCTTGCATGAACTGCGCATGTCCGTTGACTACATCCGGTGAATGACCTTAAAAGTAACAATATTTCATCAGTTTAATTTATTCTAGAGGAGAATAAAGAAAAACATATCGGAAAACTTAATTGAAACCTTTGTCAGAGTACCTATGACGAGTTATTACAATTCGCTTCTGGACTTTTTGAGAAAGGATCAAAATGACTAATCTAAATATGGAACCTACCCTATGTGGCATTTCTACTATGCGCCTACTGCTGTATCGCCGGATTATTTTACACGCAAACATCGTGATGGCAACCAGATGCATATTTGTGTATTTCTTTATAAATAAACTATTCTTCCTTCTGTCTGACATCCAAATATGTTTTTATTTTAACCCCCTCTCGTCCACCCAATATTGTCTCCCTTCATAATCTGTCTGGCAAAAGAAAGTATACACTTGAAAATTGGATTTGACCAAAAATTACAAACGTTATCAAAATGATACTAGGCTGAAAACAGTCGCCGAAACACTTCAAACACAACTATGATACCCGTATGAAATGCATCATCATCGAAAACCCCTTTCTTGTTGATTTCATGTATAGCCACCTTTGAAAATGGGTGTATACTTTGTTTGCCCGGCAGTGTATGATGTGTCCCTCTTATCCACGTGTAGTCTGTCACACAGACCCTGATACAAATGTATCCAGTACCGCCCATGCAAGTATTAAATAGTTGGCAAGTCTAGATTACTGCAGTTTGAAATGGATAGTCTCTTGGCTCCTTATTATTAAAAGGTCATTTAACAACTTTTTTCTGTGAAGTATTTGCATTTCAATGCTTCAGTGAAATAACAAGGATGACTGCACATTTCCTAAAGGCACAAGGTTCCACCTTGGAAATAGATGACTGTAATATCTGTCCAATCAGATCCAGATTGAAGACACGTCTATTCAATGAAGCCTTCACCATGTTCACATAAGTGTGTTTCAGATGTGTTCAGACTGGACAGCGCTTTTGAGCAGTTGTATGTAAGAGGATACTAGCGCTACATAATTCGACGTATGTATGTATGTATGTATGTATGTATGTATGGTATGTATGTATGTATGTATGGATGTATGGATGTATGTATGGATGGATGGATGGATGGATGGATTTCAGAGAGTAGCTGTTAGCCATTCTAAAAACGAAGAGAGTCTCTGGGCTCCATTTTATTATATTGTATTTAGATAATTTAACAAGGTATTTTTCTGTAAAGGATTTTCATTTCAGAGACTAGATGTAAGTCTTATCCACGTGATACATGCCCAGTCCCTCTTGGAATGTCAAGAACGACTTGGTGAGTTGTTTTAGAATTGTCAAGATAGGTCATGGAGTAAGCGTTGTGGAAAATGAACCACGCACGCATGTGACATCTTCTAAAGAAATCAAATCAAATAACGAATGAGGAGATTACGTATACCATGTTATCGTTTATATTACATATCCTGCAGGTGATAAATGACGATATACAGACCGGCGCCAAACTGGTTCCTCATGGACAAGTATTGGTAGCCAGCTCCTTTCTCGTGGAAGTAGTCCATCACGGGCCCGTCAATGGAGGTCCCACCTGTTTCCTGGAACACAAGAGACTGACTTCAGAAATCGCTGACGCACACCATGACGAAATTCTTTGAATATATGAATCCGTGCATTTGATAAATTCGTTGATGGCTTTACATTATTTGGATTCTTCATGACAGCCACCTCTATTGCACACCAAGGCGATCGTTTGTATTTTGTCAATATTGAAACTTAATTTGTTTTTAATTAATATGATGTAAACAATAGTCAAACAATTCCGAACAACATGTCAAAATACGTCGTTCACATTGAAAACCATTCTTCGTAGTCTCTTAATGAAATGACAGACTAGGGAGGACAATATGACAGAGGTTAATGTTGTTGTTGTCATGGCGATCTAATATGGAACCGGTTTCTTATATCTTATATCTAATATCATCAATATCACACATCCCTTGCTACATTAATTAGGCAACCTCCCAGTGGGGGTGGTGAGAATAGATCCCCAGCACTCAATTGTTTGTCGGAAGAGGTGTTTAAAGTGAATCGGGTGGTTAGGCCCTGTGACTGGATTGATTGCAGGCCATCGTATCTCGACGGCATGGATTGTTGTTCATAATATTAATCACTGGTTTGTCTGGTCCAGACTCGACTGTTTACAGGCCGCCGTGATGTAGGAGCGCTATTGCTGTGTGCTCCGGTAAACAACTAGCACTAACAATTCAACCACCCTGTGGCGATTCCTGGTGTCTATTGGTCCAAAGCAACCTATGTTAGTTGTAGGCGGTGACTTAATGAATCCAGGATCAGACTCAGTGACTTAGTTTATTGGTGTCATCATACCCTATACGTTGTTCATATCAAGTAATGGAACGTCTGGTCCAGATTAGTTTATATACATGCCAACGTGAAACAGATGGAATATCACTGACTGCGGCATTAGACAACATGCATTCCCTCAACCTTCAGCAGGGGGCACGGGTGGCCCAGTCGTCTAAGGCGCCGCGATTTGCTGTGCGGGGTTGCGTCCCTGGGGCACGCCAAAAACCTATGATTGTGGGTTCGAATCCCGGTACGCCCCGATTATGTCTCTAGGTTTGTCAGCACCATACCCGTGCTCGTGGGTTTCACCGAAGTGGTAAACGCCTGAGACCTGCATCACTTCGGGCTTTCCTCCCACATTAAGCTGACACGCCGTGATATAAGTGGAATAAAGTTAAAAGCGGCGTTAAACCCAACTCACTCTCTCACTCATCCTTCATCAATATTATCATCTGAACACCTCGTCAAGACATACACATCCTGTAGGTTGTAATCTGACCTAGATGTCGGGACACAGGTGTGTCGTGTCGAGGTGACATCCTACAGATGCACTGTCTCACCTGAGTTACTTGGGGGGACTGAATGTGGCGCTGTCTCACCTGAGTTAAGTGGGAGGACTGAATGTGGCACTGTCCCTTATGAGATAAGTGTCGAGACACTGTCTCACTCAACAAAGACTCATCAGGATCTCGCTCTGGGGGCTGTCTCTCATACTCTGACTGGCAACAGCCAATTACCACGAGTAAGCTTCACTCCATTTCAAATTAACCTTGCGAGTAGACTCACATGAATTCCAACAGAATTATATATGTACAGTTTCACGCAACAGACACTTGCAGAGAGAAAAAAACCGACCGATCTATATTGTACACGGCCGCATGGGCAAACAAAGCTAAAACATATCTTGTCTACGCAGCAACAAACATGAATAGCAATTTAAATATTTATGGCAGCACATTGCGATAACGTTCAACGAGATAAACTTTTCTAAGACCAGGAACTTAATTAGAATGGGTTTTTTACACGTAGATCAAGATTTGGGGACACAAAGCAATACTGTAAACAGACCGCCGTGTCAGATAAGATTGTTTGTTATATCTGGTCAATTTTGAGATGAACTCTAAATCTGTTTTGCAAACACCAAATTTGCTTGAATGCCTTTGTAAGCCTATTGACTGTGTGGATTACATGATCCCTTAAGTCCGCCGTCATATATCAGTGCGAGTGTCCGTGTTTATATATTTATGTACACAGACTCGGTCCCTTTGCCCAAGGCTTGTCGCATGTTGACTAAGGAGTATCGGAGTCCACATCATGTTGTGTCTGGCCCGTGGGTCGTTGCTCATGCACTCAACCACTGGTTTGCCTTGCTCAGACTCGAAAATTTACAGGCAACCGTGACATTGCTGACATTCACTCACTCATTCTTTCATTCACTGTTGTAAAGCCTAGCTATAAAGCAGCTATAAACTCTTACGTTTGTTCACTTATATCACACCATAGAAGGGCAAATTCATTAACTCCAAACCGTCTCCGTGGTCCAGTGGTTCAGTGCGTCCGTTTGGAGAACGGAAGGTCCGGGGTTCGTACCCGACCGCGTCATACCAAAAGACGTTAATAGTTGATATTTGTTGTTACCCTGCCTGGTGTTCGCCATTAAGGGGCTAAAACAAGGACTGGTCGGCTCTCATAATGTGGGGTATCCATGTTAAACATGGTATCTCAGGGGGCTAGCACTATACAATCGGGATCAGTCCGGACAAGTACGAGCAGCCCCACCCAACACGTGCATGCACTTCGCTGTGTAAGTGCAATACAATACTCTTGAATGAGACATTAATCCCCATTTCAAGTTATCTCACCTCATTAACTCCAACTGAAGAATCTCAGTATATCTCTTAACCAGATGTGTGTTCACGATCCTGGCATCAAGACAGTGAATCAATATCCAACTCCCTGTTGTGTGAAAACTGACGGCTAGACATGATGATGCATATTGTTGGTCCAGACATTAACGGTACACAGTAAAATATATTTCATAGACGCACGTTGACAAATTCCTTAAGACGACCATGTCCAAAATGCCAATGATTCCAGTTGAAACTTTATGACGTATTTTACGCAAGCACTACTAAGTCAAATATACTCTTCAAAAGAAGTTAAAGAACACCCGATTTCTTCATATAACTGTTGGGCGGTCGGGTAGCCTAGTGGTTAAAGCGTTCGCTCGTCACGCCGAAGACCCGTGTTCAATTCCCGACATGGGTACAATGTGTGAAGCCCATTTCTGGTGTCCCCCGCCGTGATATTGCTGGAATATTGCTAAAAGCGGCGTAAAACCAAACTCACTCACTCACTCACTCATATAACTGTTGTTAACCTGTCATGACGTGACCGATGAACTATATTAATAGCCATATGAAAACATCGGGTCTTTTTTATATTTCTTTTGAGTAGTACAACCCAGTCAATGGTTGTCATGACGACAAACACAAGGTGTCAGTGATGTCCAGCAGACAGATAAAAAAGTTCCAATAAAGGAATTTGATCTCCCCATTAACATGATCATGGTATTTTTAGCTTCTACAACCTCTGGTTGTCATCATCCAAGACGATGTACAGTTTCAAAGTGGTGAATTTAAAAAAAATATATATTCACCGTTTGTATACATGAAAAATGCTTTAATTATATTTCTTATTTTAAAAAAAGGAATTTGCTTTTGGATATGCTCTATTTTTTTCATTTAGCCTGTGGTACTCACTAATTCTGTTCATAAACGCCAAATCACAAATAATACTTATAGTAAAATAATAAAACGTTTATAACCAGCCTGACTGTGCCAGAATCACCCAAACCCTGCTGCATCTTTAATTTTAATCTGTAAATAATAATCATAATCATAATCATAATCATAATCATAATCATCATCATCATCATCATCATCATAAATAAATATTTAAAAGGTAACTGAATATATTATTGTATGTACAGCTTACAAATGAAATTAAACAGAAAGAAAGAGACGCGCCTGTAATTTATCAAGTAACTGCCGTCACAACAACAATCATGACGCACGACATTCCAGGGTCCACCTGCAATAACCGCACTCTAATCTCTCAAGTCGATTTTTTCTCTGGTCTCACCATGGAGTCAGCGCAGTGGGGGAGGTAATGCTGCGTCTTCAAGTGACTCGGTGTCAATACAATACCTGTAGCCGACACCTGGGTCAGCTCTACATGGGGCTATAACCCCGTCTGTATACCTAACACAGTTGTGGATTTGAAAGCTCCGATAAGCTAAGAACAGATCGAATGTGCTTAGGATTAGGGTCATTTAAAGCATTTCGATTTCGAGTATCAGTGATATTGGTTTCAACATCTTGACATAATAAATCTCCATTAAAGCTTGCGTAAAATTAGTAAACAGAATGAGAATCATTTATATCGGTTAAAGCTTCATTGTTTTTATCCAATGTTTATTTGTCTCTAAACACTCCTATTCTATATATAGAACTACAAGGACTATACTCGTTAGGTAGTAAAGTAAATACAGTAAACTACGGTTATAACGAACTCAAAGGGACTACTTGTTTTAGTTCGTAATAACCGTAGTTCGTTATATGCATGTATACAGCATATATTCATTAAATGGCCGGGACTAAAAAATAAGTTCGATATATCGGTCAGTTCGTTATAAGCGTTTTCGTTATAAACGTAGTTTACTGTATATGCGATAAAACCATTTCCATACTCATCAGAAATCTCTGCTAGAGCAGAGCCCATTATACTATTCCGACTGTATCATGAGCACGTGTTTATGAATCACTATCAAATAATGACGATGCTAGGTTTTCTCGAATAAGTGAGCGTATCCTGCCTCATCGGTTGCACCCGTCACAACCACATGCAGAGGCAGGTCAAGTGTTCATCTGGACAAAATAGGGAAATACATCGGACAAAACTTTGGCCACAGATGCGCTAAATTTGGAAATGTTCTCCACGTGTCTACTATAAAACGTTTTGAAAAGTTTACTGAGGCCTCGAAAACGGTAACATCAAACTCCTAAGAAAGAGTCGTATGACGTTCATTGAAATCTACGTAGAAAGGGGATGGTCGATTGTTCCTGAAATGTCGTGAAACGTAGACAACAAAGGCTGTAGCTGTTGGAATATTGCTCAACATAAAGGAAAAGTTGACTATTGGAAAGTTGAAATCCTTTTTGGAATACAA